GTTGTTAGCATCCACGTTTGGTCTAACAATACTCGCCGTCTGTGGAACTCGAGCAGGAGTCATGTAATCTCCCAACGTTCTCGGAGGTGGTGGAGGTACATTGTTGTCTCCCATTGCTTCTTCTCTTGGTTCTGTTGAGCTTGAAGCTTCTTTCTCTTGCTGTCTTCTTTCTTTAGCAAGTTTTCTGTTTCTTTTTGCTGTTTTCTCTATCTCTGGGTCGAATTGCAAGGAATCGGTGTCAACGGTACCTCGCATAAACCAGAAAAATAGATTATATAAAATAAGAAAATAAAACTGAATTTAAATAACAGAAAATAAGGTCCAATCTAAAGAATTAATAGCTACTATTAATGTTGAAATAGTAATCCCCGGCAACGGCGCCAAAAACTTGTTGCTACTCACGGCAAGTGCACCGATCGTACAAGTAATATATGATTAAGTAAGAGATCATTCCCACGAGGATTACGGTCCAAGCACTAATTCACTATCGCAAACTTAGTTGGACAATTGAAAATGTATTTGGAAACAGGATTTGAATTGCAAAATTAAAATATTAAATATTAAAGCTAATTACTTGCAAGAATTAAAGACAAGAAACTAAAGATGTGATTTAACTAATAAAATAAAAACGTAGTTAGGGGTTCGATTTCCTTTAATCTCCTTATTATGATTCGAAGTCCTTCTTTACGTTAACCGTCCTTAATATCAATCTAACCAATTCTTTCGCGTGTTATTAGAGTTCAATCCCTTGTTACCCTAAAACCTTTACAAACTTGAAAGAACCCTAGTTCCCCGGTTATTCCCCAAGAATGCAAGCATTAAGTTCAAGAATCTTAAGGTTACGCAAATTCTATGTCTATCCCTAGAATCATAGCGTTTACGATGAAGTTATCAGATATGGATCACACACCAACATCCCTATTGTCATGCATTTACCGATGATCATTATATAAGATTCAAGCCTATATAAAGCATTAAAAACAGATAACTTCATTCATGATAAAAAGGAAAATTAACGTACGAATTATTCAAAGCATAATAAATCGACTAAAATCCATCTAACCCTAACTACTTAAAGAACTAGCCGGACATGGCAAAATCAAGAACAAAAGAAAATAGAAAAGCTCCCCCAAACTCCATAGGTGATTGGTGGATCTTCAAAATCTCCAGTGAACACTTGACGTTGATCCGTCTCCGCCGCTCACGAACATGAATCTGATGTTTCTCCGCGTTCCCTCCGCCTCCAAGCACCCAAGAGTTGTTTAGCAATCTCAAAGTTCTGTATTTCTGGTCCCCAATGGCCCTTTTATTGGCCAAGAGTTCGTATCCTAGTAGAAAACTCGAATGGGCCTAAGTTGGATCTGTCTAGGCGCTTAAGCCTGTTGTAGCGCGCTTAAGCGCCCTAGGACAGTGAATTCTGATTCGCGTTGCGCGCTGAAGCGCTCTGAAGGGCGCTTAAGAGCGCTCCTCGCGACAACTTTTTCTTCTTGTGGCGCGCTTGAGCCCTGAGTTGGGGGCTTAAGCGCCCAGAGGCAGTAGCTATTTGCGTTTTTAGGGAGCTTAAGCTTCTGAATGGGGGCTTAAGCTCCCACTTCTAACAACTTGATAAGATCCTCAATCTTATTGTTTTTGATCTTCTTCTATCATCTCTTGATCTTATCTTTTCTAGTTGTGATCTCTATTTATCCAATCTTCATCTTTGACTCCTTTTGTCAACAAATCCCTAAAAAATAGCAAAGATGATTCCATTAAACAAAAATTCAGATAATGTTCATGATTATTATATTAAACCTTAGTTTTTGACTTATTTAACTTGATATTTTATATTAATTTAGTCTATAAAATAAGATAAACTAAAGGTTTATCAAGTTACTACTTACTAGGTCTCAAATTGACTAGATTAATTGAAACATTGTCAAACTTTTTAGTCGAGTTAGCCATTTCAATAAAAAAATTTCGGATGAACCAAGCTAATCCGTTTCTAAAAAATATGGAATTGATAATTGAGATACCTACTTTTTTATTTAGTTGTTCTAATCAGGATGAGTTCCAAATGTTCTTTTTAAATCAAAAAAGAATTGGGAAGTATCGAGTATACTATTTGGATTTTTAAATTTAGTAAAATATAAGCATATATTAAAAATATTTAAGAATTTTTTTAAGTTATAGAAAAGCATTAATAATTAATATGAGTTGCATAATATAAAAAAGTATTTAAAATTATAATAATTAATTAAAAAGAATCTAAATTTATAATAAAATATTAATTTAATATTAATTTATTATCCGTTAAGAGAGAGAAAACTTTAAAAAATAAATCACCAACAAAATATTAATTTAATATATAAAAGATAACGACTAAATAGAAAGAAACAGATTTAAGAATCAATCTTTCAACAACTTTAATTCTAAACTTTAGTTTAAAGTTTCTAATATTATATGAGATAAAGTTATATTCTATACACATAAAAATATATAAGATTTATTTTTTCTTTTCTTTTTTCCTTTTCTTTACACAGGCCTAATTCTTTAACTTATCATATTTTTATCTGGTTTAAAAGAATCAAAACAATCAAATTAGTTGTAAAGCGGTCAAATCTTTGAATTAAATTCGCAATGCATTTAAGCTTATTGATCTATTCTATTTTTAGAACTATGCATTTTATAATAGATTCAGCACTGCATCGCGCTAATGAGGTTCTCAGAATTATCATGTAAAAATTGTTGATTTTTCACATTTGATCAAAACTGTAAGAATTAAATTTCGGAATCAGTCCATTGTAATGTCATTGATTTAACTTTTGGTAAAAAAAACTAATTAGATGGTTTTTTAAATTATAAAAATCTATTTTCTTACTTATCATATCATTTTTTATTTTTATTTTTTGGTATCGTTATCGTATCATATATTTATCTGGTTTAAAAGAATCAAATTACTTGTAAAATGATAAAATCTTTCAACTGAACGAAACCAAGTGATTTTCTCATCCATTTTATTTTTTAAATTACACATTTTATAATTGAAGCATTTATTTTTATTTTTCTTTATTAAGATAATTTATTGTATTTTTTGTAGTCTTATTATTTGTATAAAATTAAGAACAAAGTACATGATACATTTTATGAAAAGAAGGAAAATATTGTGAGGCCAGCGTTTGACATAACATTTCCGCAAGATGCAGCAAAAGGATACTAGGTAGGGGCCTTTTCTTCCCCTTTAAAAAATAGGATTTATATTCATCATGTAACATGATATCATCATTTTTCCTACACACAAATTTTTATGGGATTCATATTTTTTGAAGCAAAAAAAATAAAAATTAAGGCACAAAAAATGAATTTCTATAACATGACACGATTATTTTTCCTACAACATAATTTTTATAAAACCCTTAAAAATTCTATAGAAAACCAATTGATATTATTTTTCCATACAAAATTAATTATTAATTTTACAGTATTTATATTTAGAGATACCAAATTTATTTATAAGTTGCATAAACTTTTACCGGATAAAAAACCGACTTTTTTTTTCTGTGCAACGCACGATAAATAACTAGTTCACTATACAAAGCCAGAATCACCCTCCGATAGCTTGCATGAATGGACAAGTTCAAGAGGATAAAATAGTCTTTTGGGCAGTGGGTATAAATTCATTACGTTAATTTTTCATCTCCACCATTCATTCATTCCTACCTCGAAAGTCGAAACCTTCTTTTTTATTTATAACAGTGACTTTATTGGATCCGTATCATGTGAAAAAAAAATCATATAAAAAATTATAATCATACTAGATCAATAGTTACAAAAGAAAAAAAAAATATTTATAAAATAATAATCATTAATTCACCTTTATATTATTATGATAATCTCATATAACAATATTATGTTTTTTCGAGTATCCATTCCCGCCTTTATTATTCTTAGAGCTTCTTTCTTATTGTGATTTCATTTGCATGATGACGAGGACGACCATGATATTTGATTCTCTGTTACTGTTGGTAAGTTAAACACCTTTTGCATAGATTAATTTATAATTTCTATTTATATTAATTAAAAAAAATAAATTTAAATAAATAATTTATATATTTTGGTACATAATTTTAATTTATAATACAATAAGATAAAAGTTGAGAAAACAAATTATGTATATATAAATCCACAAGGTATCTAAGTGATATATTTTTAATTTATAACCAATAAGTGTAAGTAAAAATTTAAAATCACAAGAGGTTAAATGATAAGTTAGACCACAGGGCGATATTAAATATTTTGTTTTCTACCGATTATTTTTTCTTTTATTGCAAGACAAAAAAATGTAATATTAGTTGAGTATGATGATATTTTATATGGGAATATGAGTAATTATTATTATTTTATTATTTTTAGATTTAATATTTCTCCAATGACTAGAGATAAAATTATTTATAATGAACCCAAAACGATATTATTTTGGGATTGAAAAATTAAAAAATTACAATAATAAAAATTAATATAATTCTAAAATAAATCAGAATTGTAAAATATATTTTTTTAACCTCAAAATTATATTTTTTTTAAGTTTATTGGAGTTAAATTATATTGATTGAGTATTGATTGAAGATATATTAAATCCTTATTTTTATATTTTTTTATAATCAAATGAAAATTTATACCAACTTCTCCCCTTTTATTCAGTTACTTTAAGCACTAGAGCAAGAGAAAAAAAGAAGAAAGGTCTAGGTGGTGGGACCAACTCTACGGGTATTGTTTGGGATCTATGACCACTACAAAAAAATTAGTCATTCCTGGAGGTTATTTTGTGGAGGTTTATAAAACCCCCGGTAATTATATATATTGTGGCATTTTGGAGAACGCCACGTAGTATTTCCATTTCTTTTTGCTAGTTTTTATAATTTTATGGCAAGTTTTTCCCTCCACAATATTTACCCTCAATTTTTTTGAATACGGCTGTTATAATTTTTTTTTAACAATTAATAAAATTCCCAAATTCTGAAGAATGGTTGCATCGTCTTCTTTTCACACGAAGCCTCCTCCTCCCCTCGTCTGAGATGAAATACATATAAATTAGAAGCGATTGAGAGAGAGAGAACAAAAAAGAAAAGAAAAAGGAATCGTGTGAACCTATAGCTTCTTCCTGGTTCGCTTTCTTTTCTGTCTAAATTCTATTATCTTCTTAGGGTTTCCATTTCATCTATAATTGCGATCCAACCATGCTGATTTTTTCGATCAGTTGAGTGTTTTGCTATTTTTTTATTGTACTTCTTTTTCTTCTTCTCGCTCCTACATTTTGGAATTCGCTCTATGTTTTCTGATTAGGTCTGGTGGCATCTCCGCAATGAAATTTTAGGGATTTCCTTTGGGAATGGACGATGACGAGCTTGATTTCTCGAACCATGAAGTGTTCTCGACTCCAAACACGGGGGAATTTCCTAGCAGTGGTTCAATGGATAGTTTCTTCAACGAGCTTCTGAAGGACACACATGCATGTACTCGCAAGTCGCACCCACACTTCTAACCCTTCTGGCCCTGATTTTTCTCATACACACATGGTTTAACCAAGCTCACACACTCTCTTGTTCGTTCTTGCATCTGTTATGTTCGTTTTGATCTTCACTCTGTTTTTGCAAATATGTTACTTAGAAGGTTCAATTCTATCCCAACAATTTGATTCTAGAGAGAAGCAGTAGCTAAAGTTTCAGAGAGAGCTCTATTTCCGATAAACTTTATTTCAAGGCAGCTCATGGGCAATGGTTTCAGACTTTATCAGAAGTTTGTAGATTCTTTTCCGATATATTTCTTTTATTAGGCATTCAATGAAAATTGTTTTTATTTTCTGCATCTATCTAATGAGATAACTCAATTCTCTAATAAAGAAAAATTAGTTAAAAAGGAAATGTATTGGTGCATTTGGTGTCATATTCTATAATCAAATCATCTGCCCCATGGATTCTTTAATTATTTTCATTAGATTACAATTTTTATATTTGATAAAACTTATTTTTATTAGATGGAAAAAGGATTACAAAGAAAAAGAGGATAAGATATTTTCCATAAAGCAGCATAAAAGAAAAATTTGAAACTCATTAACAAGGATTCTTCAATCATTACACCATTTTAAAGTAGGATTTACCCTGTCTTTTTGAACTCATTCTATTTTAATTGCAATGGCTAGTTTGAAGGCTGTATTCAGCTGATATGTCATTATCTGCTCCATCATGCTTATATAAGAGTAAAAATCATGCTTGCATCATTGCATTATTATTTGATGTTGTTTTCCATCATCTTTTGACATTAATCAACCCCTGATTATGTTATAGACTGTGGCTTCTATGATGAGACACGATAAAGAAGAATTCAGCAAGGCCTTAGGGGCCCCATTGTATGCTAGAATTCGTGAAGCTCTATATAGCATTAGTGGATTAAAGACTATGGATGATGGAGAGCTTCAGGAAGTTGCAAGAAGTTTCCCAGCTGAAGATCTTGTTGAAAGTAAGCAAGGTGGGGCAAAAGATGTATCATCTGCCTTAAGTAATGAATTGCTATTAAGGATAATGAGTGTTGTCCTTGAAATTTTCATCTCCACAATTTTTAAGGGGACACAATCTGACTCTAATTATTTTCATGTTTGCAATTTAGTGTAAGAAAGCTGTCAAATATGACAGAAAAGTTAACCAAATCTTTGCTTGATGGTGTTGGAATAATGAGTGGATCAGTGATGGCTCCTATGGTTAAATCCCAACCAGGACAAGCATTCCTAAGGATGCTCCCTGGTGAGGTGTTTTTGGCTTCTCTGGATGCTGTCAGTAAGTAAAGCCTCTCTTAAAACCAAACTTTATGATCTTAATAAGGCTAGCATGTTCTTCCTTTTATGGCTAGCAACACCACCTAATCTTGTTCTTTTAAACAAGCAGCATCAACTTGATTTCTATGTTCTCTTTTAATGTCGCAGACAAGGTTTTTGAAGCAGCTGAAGCTGCTGAAAAACAAACCCTTTCTGCCACCTCTCAAGCTGCAACCAGAATGGTTTCTAACAGGTAAAAAACATTACATTGCTTTGAACAATATAGCTGAACTTTATAGTTGAACAATATATACTTTTGGTTTCTCTAGTTTCACTAAAGTTCACATTTAGTCCCTTAATTTTAATTGTGACAATGCTACAGTATAATTTTTAAATTGATGCAATATTTTTAAAATGGGAGGTTTAGATTTGTGACAATATTTTATTTAATTGTATGCAATATTTTTAAAGTTCACAATTAAATTGATGCTTTAAGTATATTTCTATATAAGTTTCTGATAGTTGAGAAACCTTCTTATTGTCATAATATGTTTTTTTCTTAATCAATGGTAGTCACTTGATTGATTCTTCCTGCTAATGCTAAAGCCATTACACTTATTCTGAAAATCACCCAATACAAGCACCTTCCCGCCGACCCTGCCTCCCAAAATATTCACATAATATTGAACATAGATTTATTTATCATTAATCTATTTATTTATTGAAACTTTTTTAGTAATAATTCTCTGTTTTGCAATTTGAAAATTCCAGGTTTATATTGTAATCACTACTTGCAAATGCTAGCTCAAATTGGGAGGGGTCACTATGATGCGGCTTTTGAATTAGGTCAGCATCTTTCCTCGCCCATTCAGCCTAATGTTGCAGCTTGAAGTTAGCGCAGATTTGAGGCTAAAATAAAAAGATTTCTTGTTTTGTAATTTGTCTTGAAGTGTTTGTAAGTGCTAATCAGTGTGTAGGCAGATTTAGGCTTAAAATAAATTTTTTTTTTTTAATTTTTAACACATTTGTGGGGGTCTGGAGCCTCCAAAAAATATTTTAACAAATTATGGCATTGCACATAAAACCTCCACAAAATATGTTGTGGCGTAGGTAAAACTAGAGGTCATTGAGGATGCCACAAATGTACTTTGTATTGGTCAAAGACCCCCACAATATGAAAATATGACCTCCACAAAATGCCTGAATTTTTGTAGTGGACCTAAATGTTACGTTTTAATTATTTAAATGTCACGCGAACAATATTTTTTATCAGACTGTCATATGTCATAATTCGTTATCACTGGTAGCGAATTTCGTGGTCAATAATTTCGTGACACATGGTCATATTGCAGATCAAATTCGCTACCACTTATAGTAAATTACGATACGTCAATTTTTTCCTGCGAAAGTGTGTCACGTGTCATAAAATTATTGACGAACATAATTTGCTATTAGTCGTAGCGAATTATACTTACGTGACATTCTGATAAAAAATACTATTTACATGATATTTGAGTAAATTTTTTGTCAAAAAATAACATTTTAATCACTGTTGTTATTGTTTGTTTATAAATACAAAGCAAGCTTGCAGTGAATGCATGTAAGCTGCACTTAGGGCACCTATATGTACATTCTTTTCCTTTGAATTGACAATTCTTAGCCCCAAGTACGATTTTTCCATTTCAACTCAAATCAATTAATGCATATCTTAATTTCCTTCATATTTGTAAAATAGGTCGACCTCATCGAGTTTTAGTTTGACAAATTGGATCTGAAAAATGAAGCAAATAAAAAATTCATTTTTTTTTCACGAGTTACTACTTACCGGTCTTACAAATTGACAAGATTAATTGAAACAGTGACAAATTTTGTAGTATAGTTTGCCATTTCAATATATATATATATATATATATATATATATATATATATATATATATGGGTTTTATTAGTGTTATGTTACATGATTTAAGTGTTGTTTCCAACACACACAAAAAAATGGAGAGAGAAAGTGGAATGATGAAAGATAAAGAAAAAAATGTGAACCCCACCTCTTTAATGTGTGTGTAGGAAAGTGATGTTATATCATGTTACATGATAAACATAAAACCCTATATATATATATATATATGGAAAATGATTCCATGCTGCATGATTTTTTTTTCTTGTACAACCATTGAACTTTGCGCTTTGTTTTTTGTTTGAAATCTCGTTAGCCCGTTTATATGTCTCAACAGAAAAAATAATAGTATCTTCTGTCACATAAAAAGATACAATCCCTATATATATATGGGTGTCGGGGCAAGATTATTTGACACTGATGTTAAACTTTAAATTTTGACATCAAATTCTAACCGTTGATTTCGGCCAATCAACTGTTATCATTTATTGGACGTCAAACTTATTAATTAATCATTAATTTATAATAAATCATAATTGTTGATTGACGAAAATCAACGGTTAAGATTTGATATCAAATTTCAAAGTTTGACATCGATATCAAAAAATCATATCCATATGTATATGGATAATAACTTGAAGTTAGGGCATGTTTGGTGTATAGTATAGGATAAAGCCTGATAGTATAAGACCTGATAGTATAAAGTCTGGTAGTATAAGACCTGATTGATTTTTAATACTATCCAGCGTTTGGCATGATATTGTATAAAATAATATATTGTATAAGATAATATCATCTAGTATTTGGTAATGCACTGTATAATACTATATAGGATAAAAATAAATATTTTTAATAAAAATATCCTTTAATAAAGATTTTATATAATTCTTTAAAAAATGTCATATGATATTAATTTTTATAAAAATTTATTGATTAGTTGTCCAAAACATAAATTAATTTATATAAAAATTAATTTTTCAATATATTAATTTTTTAAAATATTAAATATTTTTTATTTTTATTTTATATATTAATATTAAAATAATATATTAAATTTTGAGAATTACATTGGTCACTGATCAACGATGTCAGGGCCTATTTGGTGTGACGTATAAGACCTGATAGTATAAACTTATACTGTACGTTGACATTTTCAGTTGTTTGGTGTGACTACTGTAAAATATAAGCTTATACAGCAGGATTCCTTAATACATCAAAACGATGTATAACTTAATCCGACCTAAGGAGGAGGGATAAGGCCTGATAAGAAGTTGATGTATTAACATCGTTGACCGGTGACTAATGTAATTCTCAAAAATTAATATATTATTTTAATATTAATATATAAAATAAATAAAAAATATTCAATATTTTAAACAATTAATATATTGAAAAGTTAATTTTTATATAAATTAATTTATGTTTTGAACAACTAATCAATACATTTTTATAAAAATTAATATCATATGACATTTTTTAAAGAATTATATAAAATCTTTATTAAAGGATATTTTTACTAAAAATATTTATTTTTATCCTATATAGTATTATACAGTGCATTACCAAATACTAGATGATATTATCTTATACAATATATTATTTTATACAATACCATGCCAAACGCTGGATACTATTAAAATTCAATCAGGTCTTATACTACCAGACTTTATACTATCAGGTCTTATACTATTAGGCCTTATCCTATACTATACACCAAACATGCCCTTAATACATCAACTTCTTATCAGGCCTTATCCCTCCTCCTTAGGCCGGATTAAGTTATACATCGTTTTGATGTATTAAGGAATCCTGCTGTATAAGCTTATATTATACAGTGGTCACACCAAACAACTGAAAATGTCATAACGTACAGTATAAATTTATACTATCAGATCTTATACGTCACACCAAACAGGCCCTTATTATCATTCCACCATACACAATCAACCAAAACACCAAAGAGAGAAGAATAAGAAAAAAAAACGAAGTTATAGAAAAATATATTATAAATATATGCGTTACGTAATATAAAAACATATTAAAAATATTTAATATTTTTTAAGTTATAGAAAAACATTAATAATTAATATGCATTACGTAATATAACAATATTTAAAATTATAATTAATTTAAAAGAGTCTAATTTAAAAGATTACAAAATGAATCATAATATATATTATCTGTTAAGGGAATTTAAAAAAATTAAATTATCAATATATTAAAAAATTACAATAAAATTAAAAGAAACAAATTTAAGAATCAATATTTGAACAAATTTGATTTTAAACTTAATCATATTTGTATTCGGTTTAAAAGAATGAAAACAGTCAAATTAGTTGTAAAATGGTTAAATCTTTGAACTAAATTGACCATGCAATTAATTTTTTTCTGTCAAATTGGCTTGTTGATCTATTCTGTTTTTAGAACTATGCATTTTATAATAGATTCAGGCATTGAGCACTGCATCATGCTAACGAGGTGCTCAGAATTATCATATAAAAATTGTAAATTTCTCACAATTGATCAAAATTGTAAAAATTAATTTTCGGGTTTAGGGTTTAGGAATGACATTGATTTAACTTTTGGTAAAAAAAAAAAAAACTATTGGATGATTTTCTAAATTATAAAAAACTGTTTTTTGTTTACTTATCGTATCATATTTTTGTCTGGTTTAAAAGAAGGGGAATGATACTGTGACAACCAAGTTGTGTTACTACCAAGTGACTACCAATCAATCTCACCGTTAGATCGATTATGTTGATCCAACGGTTATATTTATTTCCATCTTTGTATGGTCATGATTCCCCAAATTTAATACTTTATATTTATTTTCACCTTTATATGGTTTGATTTCTCATATTTAATGCTTTCACTTTAAATATGGGGAATCATGACCATATAAAGATGAAAATAAATATAACCGTTGGATCAACATTATCGATCTAACAGTGAAATTGATTGGTAGTCACTTGGTAGTAACACAACTTGGTTGTCACAATATCCTTCCCCTGACAAGAATCAAATTAATTATAAAATGTTAACATCTTTCAACTGAATTACCCAAGCAAATAATTTTCTCTTCCATTCTATTTTTAAAATCACGCATTTTATAATTGTATGATTTATTTTATTTTTCTTAATCAAGATAATCTTTTGTTTGTTTAAAAAAAGGAAATTTTTTTTCTCATGTTGCATGAGAATTCAACTCTCATGTTAGTGACTCTTCGATTTGCGTGCAAAGTTTTTCTTTTTTCTTTTTTAATAAATATGGAGCCCACCACTAGTTGAGTCACAACATGAGAATTGAATTCTTATGCAACATGAGAAAATTAAATCCCTTAAAAAAAAAGGACAAAACATATGATAAATTTTATAAAAAGAAGGAAAATATTGTGAGGCCAGCATTTCACATAACATTTCAGCAAGATGCAACATAAGGATACGAGGGAACCCTTTTCTTCCCTTTTAAAATTTTATATAAAAAACCGATTATTATTATTGTATATTTTTTTCCATACAAAAATAATTATTAATTTTACACTGTTTATATTTAGAGATACGAAATTCACTCTACAAAGCCAGAATCACCCTCCGATAGCTTGCATGAATTGACAAGTTCAAGAGGACAAAAGAGTCTTTTGGGTAGCGGGTGTAAATTCATTAGGGTAATTTTTCATCTCCACCATTCATTCACACCTCGAAGCCTTTATTTATTTATTTATAACAGTGCCTTTATTCTTCTTAAAGCTTCTTCCTTATTGTCATTTCATTTGCATGACGACGACGACGATGATATTCGATTCTCTGTTACTGTTGGTAAGTTAAGCACCTTTTACATATATAATACTATTTTATTTTGGCTTTATATTTATATATATATATATATATATATATATATAAACAAAAACTGTTGTTTGACATTTCTGCTTCTGTGCCTCTGGATTTGCATCTTGTCATGTGCTTTTTATGTAAGCATACGTTATATACTCTCTTTGATTCTTTATAATTCTTTTTTTTTTTAATGAATATAACAACCAAGCGCGCTGCACAAAGAAAGAAATAAATACATGAACAGTAGTACACACACTTTTATTGTGATTGATAAATGATAAATCTATGCTTTTATCAAATTTTTTTTTTTTTTTTTTTTTTTTAAAGATTGCAATGACAACAAATTTGATTTGAATTTTTCTATTTCATGGATTGGATTGGATTGGCACGAACCGCACAAATCCCTTTTTACCCTGAAACAGTGTCAGATTACATAGAGAAAGAAAGATCAATAAAGAAATTGACGACTTGCTTTAATGCATATACGTGTATTTATGTAAAGATCGTTTGGTCCCCGTTATAAGATATCGTCCTATCCTACAAATGTCAGGGTTCAGTTATAGGCCTATGCTATGTAGTATATAGAGATAGGTCTGTGAACAGTGACTGAGGTTAGGGAGAGGCTAGAAAGGGACTTTGTGGTTTCGTCTTTATTACCATAGCTTTAAAAGGGTCTCTCTTGATTAGCCACTGTTTGTTTCAAAAGGCCTGAGACCCTGAGCTTAGAAGGGGGGGTTCTTGCTGCTGTTACATCCTCGGTAATCTGGAGGAATTCATGGCTATGTCACAGCTTTTCTGTACCATTTCCTTTTCTTGGACTTTGTATCTCCCTTCTTACTGCGAGTTATTTCACTGGCCCTGGAGCTTGTGTATCTTATCAGGGTTGTGGATTGTTTCACTCCTGATGAATCTGCTGCTGCTGCTGCAGCTGCATGGTGATTTTATTGGTTTCTTTCTCTTTTTTATTTTTATTTTTATTTTTTGTTTTTAATTTCATTTTCATGGGACAATTTTTCTCTTCTTATCCAGTGAACTTGTCTGTTTCTTTTTAATTTTTGTCTCCTTTCATTTTTCTTTTTTTATTGTCTGGATGTAGGTAGTGGTCATTTAATTTCTTTTACTAATTTCATTTTCTTCATATCTACCAATACTGGGTGGTTTTCAACTTCTTCTTTTTTATGTTTTTCTTCTTCCTTTTGCTTCTTTCAAATTCAAACCCAAACACACACGCCCACCCTGTTTTTTGTGTTTTCTTTCTGCAGGGCTACTAAACGTTGAGGTTGTTGTCTTGTTAACGTTGGGGCAGGAAAATACTGAAGACTGAAAATACCAAGTTGTTAATGGCATCAACATCTTGTGTCAGCAAGAGCCCATTACCCATGAAAGAGGTAGCTTCGAGCTATCGTGCGTATCCTCCTCCTCTAGCAACATATGAGGAGGTTGCTAACAATTCCAAGCTCTTCATGTCTACCTTGGAGAAGCTCCACGCTTCTATGGGTACCAAGTTCATGTAAGCTCCCTGGATATCATTTGGCCATCAGCTATACATATCTTTTTTTATTCCCTTCAAAAGTTTTCGCAGGGGTCAAAACTTTTAAAGCCTCTGTAAACTTTAAGAGAGAATGATGAGTTGAATGGAAAATGCGTTGGAGTAAACTACTAGAGCTCGTGTCACTATTTCTTTCTGAAGATATGTAACATACTAGTTTGTGATGTCAAATCCCTGGCTTCATGTTCTTTAGTTTTCTGTATCTATTTTGAGGATTGATATATCTGCTGCTGCTCTACCTATAGATAGAAGTGTGCATGGTTTGGCTTTGTCAACGGGATAAGATAATTCTATAATGATGGAAGGCATTCTGATGTTACAATTTATGCAAAGGCTCCATGTTTACTATGATTTGTAGATCTATATGGTTTTCTAGTTGGTGGACAACAATCCTTGTGGTGAACTAAGTATGGCTCGCAGCTGTTCCGCCTCAGCTTCTAGTTTTGTAGTTTTTGGAAATATTGTACCCTACTAATGCATTTTTATTGCATATCTTTGTAACTTCAAAAAGTGTTTTTTTCTCACCAGTTTTAGTTACTTTTGTGGCATCTGAATTTTTTGTTGCAGGATTCCCATTATTGGGGGAAGAGAACTGGATTTGCATCGCCTCTTTGTTGAAGTGACCTCTCGTGGAGGGATTGCGAAGGTAAGATATGATCGTAATTCCCATTATGCTGGTCTGCCTATTCAGGTCCTAAAATTCTTGAACATGCCTAATGCTTGTGATCAGTTGCCTGGGGTAAGATAATTTTCCTGGTTAATCAAACATAGTAATTTTATTCAAATGACAAAAGGTATTGTATGTTTCCACAAATTTGATTGAACGGCAAACAAAAATTTGTTTGAGGGCTTAATTTGTTGTCAAAGAAGAATTATAAATTTGTGACTTTTTATAGCTGACCCTAGCCAATTTATATTAGCATTTTCAAAATAAAGTAGTTGGAGGTTATCAAGGGGGACACAACCTTTTCATACTTGGTTAATTTTTGTTCATATTCAGTGTTTGTGTAGTGGTTCTGTTGTAGCATATGAGGATTTTCTTTTATCTGACATGCGTGCCTCAATAAATTTCTGATTCAAGGTCATTATGGTATTGTAATGTATTGTATTGGTGTCTAGATTGGTTTCCCTGCATTTGAGTTGTCCTTGGTTATATTCTAGTTCAATTTTTCCTTTGTTTAAGAATTTTCCTTGGAAGGTTTTGTTCATGATTATGATAATAAAAAGTGAATAGAATATTCTAGGGATCCTTTTTCCTCCATACTTTTCAACCAAATATGGTGCTGCATGTCCATGTGAAATGTAATTGATTTCAGGATCTTGCCTTAAAAGGAAAGCTGCTTGAATTTTGTGTGATACCTTGGCAGAAAACTGTGAATATTTTTCATTATTTTTTAAATTATAACTTTTGGTTTTGTTGGTTGTAGTGGTTATATTATCTGGTTCACGTGTCTTGCAGATAATTAGAGAGAGAAAATGGAAAGATGTTACTGCAGTTTTCAATTTTCCGTCAACAGCTACAAATGCTTCTTTTGTGTTGCGGAAATACTATGCTTCCTTGCTCTTCCATTATGAACAAATTTATTATTTTAGAGCCCATGAATGGGCCCCTACCACTTCCGGTATGTTTATTTAGACCACATTGCTGGTTTGAACTAATGTCGGGGTCCATACTAAAGTATAAAATGGCACTTTCACTTTGACAGATGGTTTGCAGAGTCAATCAACTGTCCCAGTTCCTGCTCAACAGATGCATTGTTCGCAGCCTTCTTCAGAAAGTCAACCAGCTGTCTTTCAACAGTCAAATGTTAATGCTGCCAGGCTACCTGAAGGTCTCTTTTTTTTTTCTGCCCAAATTAAGATTAATTGCTAATCACAAAGGAAAAAGAAAAAAGGAGTTACGATGGTCATGGGAATTTTTAGTCTCAGTTTCTAATTGTTTTTTAGTTTTATGAAATAGCTAAACTGATCTCAGTCATATTAGAGATTGGGAGCAGATGGTGAGAAGGTGGGGTAAGCTTTGATTAAGTCGAAAGGTCAATCTAAGACCTAAATATTTATGTACATGCCATGTGGAACTGGCCAAGTTAAAATAGTATGGTTAACCAGAAGTAGATCTAATATTTTATCTTCCTTTAAGGATTTATGTTCCATGACTTCATGGGAGTGAACATTGTATCGATGGTCTTTGAATCTGTGTTAGTTATGCATGGAAGTTACCTGAATCACCCAGTCTTATTTTATACGGAATTACTCATATTTTGTGCTTGATGACTGGGAATCATATGTTCGACCTATTTTATCACGAGAAGGACATGGTTTTGTATAATGTGTTCTGTGATATCTTGCACTTGCATTGAATTGATGGGGCATATATTGCTTTTGCTATCATGTCAATTTGCACAAAAGATTATTTCCTATCTCTAGTAAGCTCTCACGTGTCAGTTTTTCCCTGCTAACCATTTTTTTTTTTGGATAGACCGCTAACCATTTTATCTTTTCTAGAAGTTGGACTTAAATTTTTTGTATGGTTTTTTGATGACCTATGGGCAATTCGGTAACTATAACTTACCGTGACTGTTGTTGATTATTTTATAACTAGAACTTTTTATCCTATTTTGGTCTCAGCAATGGCAGCATCTTCGGCTGGGTCTCCAGTCACTGGAGTCATTGATGGGAAATTTGAAAGTGGGTATCTAGTTACTGTTACAATAGGTTCAGAGAAGCTCAAAGGCGTACTTTATCAAGCTCCACAAAACCCTGTATTGCCAGTTTTCCATCATAGTGTTTCGGTTAATAACAACAATGCCTCTGCTTCATTGGGTGTCCATCGTCGCCGACGCAGGAAGAAATCAGAAATAAAAAGGAGAGATCCTGCTCATCCAAAACCCAACAGAAGTGGGTACAATTTCTTCTTTGCAGAACAGCATGCAAGACTAAAACCACTTCACCATGGGAAGGACAGGGTAATTAGCAGGATGATTGGTGAACTCTGGAACAAGTTAAACGAATCGGAAAAGGCAGTAAGGAATTTGTTTAATGTTGTCTTTTATGAGTTGGCTCTTATATAGTGCACAAGCTCACCTATGCATGTTTCAGTTCTTGTATCTTGGGTTATCATGTTAATTTGCTAAGTTTCACTGACATTAAGGTTTATCAAGAGAAGGCTGTGAAGGATAAAGAAAGGTACAGAGCAGAAATGGAAGATTATCGTGGGAAATTGAAGATGGGCCAAATTATCAGTGATGCTGTGCCACTTCAACAACGACTTCCCGAACCAGATACAGACATGTTGGATGCTGAGGCAGATTCTCCTCAGACTCCGGAGGAGAGCAGTTCTGGTGGAAGTGATTATGAAGATGATAAAGCTACAGAGAAAGATTTCGATATGGATGCATTGCCCGTTGTAGGAGTGGGTGCTGAATCTAGCTGTTTAGGTTCAGAAGAGAAGTCATCATCCAAGGGGGGTTTATGAGCTTCTTCTTCAGGAAAGAGAGAAGATGATGATGATGATGATGATGATGGGGGTCAACAGGTCCAGAAGATGGAGGAGAGACAAGTTAACTGGCACTACTTTAGCAGAAATAGATTTTTTAATGACAATTTTAAGTTTTGGGGTGGGATTGAGTTGCTGTTCACAATCGCAGTGCTTAACTGTGGGTTTTGTCATGTCAAGATTTAATTTCTGGTGTTCTTGTGGGCTTCATGTGGTTGTACATTTGGCATGCTGACATAGATGATGATAACTAAGTAGGCCTTTGGGAGCAACGGAAACTAGAGAGTTTGCTCCTCTTATGTTATTAGATCGACCATGACCATAGAATAAAATCTTGATATTCAAATTTAGAATTATTATAGCCCTATATATGTGTTCGGTCCCTGATTCTCCGATAGAAAATCCATTCAGAAAAATATCCATTTCTTATGCGCGGGGTAAAAAGGATCATACAAAGGAGGAAGTATGCCAATGCTCCAGTGCTTTTCATTTAGTCTTCTAGCATGTGAAAAAATAAGCTAAAAGAGATAGGGAAGGAAGCGTCTTCTAGCATGTGTTCGAATCTCTTCAATATCATCTTTGGGAGGGGTTTAAAGTTTTAATTCTGGATCCATCCCGAATCGGATTAGTTGCGAAGCAATGAATCGATTGGAATATTTTCAAAAAGATTATGAAGCTAATGTATCTCTTGGTACGAATTCTTAATGTGGATGTGTGAAGGGGTGGGTGAAGGGGTTTGAGGATGCTTATACATATCAGTAGATATGTTAGGAGATTTTTTTGTTCACACTATTATTGTTATAAGAGTTCGATTGATTCTTAAGGAATAATTGTTTGGGAAAAATATTTTTTCGGTTATAGGAGATAATATAATATTAAAATGACATCGTTTTGGATTTTAAGATTAAAAATAAATAAATTTTGATTATTTTATGTGACAACAGAGACATTAATCTTGTTACAAAAGGCTTTAATATTTCTATAAGGAATGTAGATAAGTTATCTACATTTATTTTCAAGATGACGTCGTTTTGGGTTGAAAGATTAAAAAATTATAATGAGAATGACTATTATAACTTTTAAATAAATTATAATTATAAAAATATCTTAATTTCTATCCTAAAACGATGTCATTTTGAATTTAATATAAATAATTTATCCAAAAATTAATCCTATATAAAAACACTAAATGTGTTGTAAATGTTGATTCTATTTCTTAAGCCAACTTATAGGTGACCGAAATTGGCAACGGCTTCAAAAATTGGTTGACTACCCAGTTTCTTATTTATTTATTTTTTGATCAGACCCAGTTTCTTATTTTAAAAATGAAATCGGGTGCAGTGCAGTCCAATTATATATTTTGTGCAATCATTTCATGAAAACTTTAAAAAAGAATCATTATTGACTGAAAAACCAAGGGAGTATTTATTGTCACTCACGTGTTTGTTGTCATTCTTATTTATTTATTTATTTTCTTTGTTAATCGAATTAATAATAAAAATAAATTATATAAATGTATTCCATGGAGTGGCAATAAAGAGTGTCAAAAAGTGGTCAGAGTGTTGAGCTTGAGATAATGGGGTAAATGTACCCACATACGTGGAGGGCATTTGACCCTTCAATTACAATTATGTGATAGGATATCTGGTGATTGTAATTTACATTTGGACAAACAAGATATCTCTCTTTATCGCGAGAGGAGAGGGGTTTAGTTATGGCGTCTGCTATTCCTCGATGCCTTCTTCCAACTCCAACTCCTAATCGACGTCAGTTTTTCATCTTCCTCTAATCTAGCTTTATACATTGAATTCGAGTTAGTTATTTAACAAATTAAGTTACATGATTAAGATGCCATTTAATTTTTATTTTTTTTTGGGTTGGGAAATAGTTCTTTTATCATTTGATTTTGAGTGTTAGTTCTGTTGTTTGTCAGGAAAGGTGCATGTTGTTAAATCAAGTCACCAAAATGAGAGCTCTGCCTCAGGACATACAAATCACTCCTCAAAGGTGAAACTAACTCCATGCATTGTTTTAATTATTGATTCATAGTATAAACAACGGTTGCTAAAAATTACTCATAATTATGGGAAAAACAAATATCCTTTTAAATGACACATGGCCGTTTACATGACCGGTCATACTTTATGTAAATATGAAAAGTTATTTTTTTTTTTCTCTCCTCAGTCATATCGCTGGCATGTAAAATGAAAAAAAACAATTTTTCAAATTTTCACAAAGTATGACCGGTTATACTTTGTGTAAGTCACTAAAAGGACACAAGTTGTGTCCTTTTAAATGACACACACTAAACCCCATAATTATATTTTGTTCATTCCATACCATTGCATTATCTATTTATGTTTTGTGATGTCTGTCAAAAGTTGAATGAGCTTCATGTTGAGGTGCTACGTTCCATTTGCTTGTTTATTGGTGTAATACAAAATGAATCCCATAATTGAATACAAAATGTGAATAAAATATTACCTTCTCATGCAGGAACTCCCAATAACAGTTTCCAGGCGTCATTGTCTCACTTGTTTAAGTTCAACTATAGTTTTGATTAATGATTATGCCAGACCTATTTTTGCACCAAAGGCAACAGCTGTTGATGGGATGGAAAGATCTGGGTGCAGAAATTGCGGGGGAAGTGGTTCTGTAATATGTAAGTTGTGATAAATCTGCTTTCTTTGTGTTTGTCTCTTCTTAATTGCATGATCAGAAAAATACAGGATTTACAAGTAGGACATGATTTTCGTAACAGCATATCTTCATTTTATAAGCTCAATAATTCACACATTATACTCTTCTGAGAAGAGAAATAAACATTCCCATAGTTATAAATCTTAGTAGAACCTTGTTTCTTCAAGAGGGTTAGCCTTCTCACAACTATAAGGAATATTACACGAGTCCCATAGCCATAGGCAAATCGAAATACCAAGACCATTTGGTCTTTGAAGGGCTTTTCTAGTGGATCCTGCTTCAAAACTCCTGTAATTGGACAAAGTCCCCAAGTTAAATAATACCTGATTAAACCGAGTGGCTAAATTTAATGTGATTGATTGCTGAATCAGTTAAGGTTGTTTCCATATGAATTTTCTTTTAGAGTGTTTAGGAGAAGACAATTTTTAAACGGCTCCTGTTTCTTACATACTTTGATCCATATGATGTTTACTTTTCATTTAGGTGATATGTGTGGTGGTACAGGAAAATGGAAAGCTCTAAACAGGAAGCGAGCAAAAGATGTTTATGAGTTTACAGAGTGTCCAAATTGTTACGGTATGAAGTCCAGTTTCTACACGACTCCTCCATTTTATTAGCTATATGAGAGAATAATAATTGCACGGTTTGATATGAAGCATTTTTGAAGTACTGTTCTGAATTTCATTTGATTGGACAGTGATCTTTAAAGACGGCCTTGATGACATGCTTTTCAATATGCACTTTTGCAGTACAATTCTTTTTTTTTCTTTTCCTTTTACCATATTAATGACTTTAAATTCTGTTTTCTTAGTCAAGTAATGACAATTATGCCTCTTATTTGTTCTTTTGCACGCTTCTTTGTTTATGCTATGTGTGGAAGTTTTTGGGTGGATGGAAAGGGAAGGAAAGGTAAGGGAAGGGAGGGAGAGTTACTTTTCTATGTATGTTCAAAATAAGGAAATGAGGGGAATTATTATCCCCTTTTTTTGGAGTTAAAGTTGAGGGAATGGCCTTCCTCACCCCCTCTTTACCTTATCCAAATAAAGCATTATTTCTCTAGTATTGCCATATGCAATTATCTTGCATGATTGATCAATAATATTTATAAATTACAGGTCGAGGAAAACTTGTATGCCCTGTTTGTTTAGGAACTGGTTTGCCAAACAACAAAGGTCTACTGAGGAGGCCTGACGCACGGAAACTGCTTGATAAGATGTATAATGGGCGGTTACTTCCAAACTCTTAGAAGGTAAATTTTCTTTGTTATGTTACTTCTTAAAGTCACTGGTGTCTAGAATATTAATCTTCTATTGTCGTTATTCACTGTACTACACCCTTTTCAGTTGTTCGTTTGAGTACAACTGAGGCTTCCTAATGATGCTTTTTGGCACAATTGGAATGTTCTCCACCTAGTTAACAAAGCCAGTGACTGCATGGTTTGTTTCATATATTTTTGGTCTGGATGCATTCCAAAACAACTCTAATCATTGGCTTGGTTATCGCCTAATGACTTTCAAGGTTCTGTATGAACAAGGTTCATTTATCAATGCTACAATCGTCATATTCATACAGACTGAATTGACTTCCAAAAATGCCATTTTATTGTAAACATTGAGCAAATACTTCCAGCAAGAGTAGCTATTAAAGCTCCTATTTAGTTGCCAAGTAAATCTGTAAATGTTCACACAACTCGTGTACATCTAAGGGTTTTAAATCCTGATAGATCTATAATTAATAAGCCGATTTGAGCTATTTATGAAAGTTATTGGTTTAAATATTTAGACATTATGTCACGAATACCTTATTTGTCAATTTAATCTGGCTTGTGACGATGGCTTTAGATGAATCTGAAATTGAACTTATTTTCTTTAAAATATATAACTCTGACTATCACAGTAAGTTCGAAAATTTATCATTTATGTATATAATATTGAAAATGTATTATTTTTTAATGAAAATGTCAAAAGGATAATTTTTTTTTCACAAACAAAAGTTGTTTGTTATTTATTTTGTTAATAAAGGAAATTATTAAATGTCTTATCGATAAATGTGTTTGAGTAATGATACTTCAGTTCATTGAATGACACCGTATCTCATGCTCGATATGCTGCTGATTTTGCGTTGCCTTGACTTTCCATATGTCGTAAAATAGATAGGCTGTTTTATCTATTTGTATCCCCACATTATTTATTATTTTTAATATAGTCAAATCAGAATATCATTTAATTTTTATCATTATTCTCTTTGTCGATGATTCTGATTTAACGATATTAGAAATGATAAATAAGATATGCATGAAAAAAAATAGATATAATAGTCTATTCCTTTGTAAAATACGTGCATGTGTTGTGCATTGTAAAATGAGCCAAAAAATATTAAAATTAGAAGATTTAGAATAAGTTAAATAGCATAACGGGAGCGTAGCTCAAATGGTAGTGGTAAGGTGGAGATATATTAAGCAATTGAAGAAATTAGCGGAAGCATTTCTCTACTTTTGTTTAATTGTCTTGGGGTAAATTTTTCTATATCAATTACTGTAAGCACCATAACCCGAAGAGAAAAATCTTGCTTTCTTTCTGTTTTTTTTTTCCTTCAAAGAGTGTTTTTGTAAAATTAAAAAAAATGAATACCATTTAAATGACATAACTTTATGTTATTTTAAATAAAATGACTTAATATTAATGTATATTTGATAATTTTTTACATTTTTTTTCCTCCGTGAAATTAGGAAGAGAGAGAAAATGAAGGAGAAAAAATTATAAAAATTCACAAAATATACACAAAAATAATGTCGTTTTATCTAAAATCACACAAAGTTATGTCATTTAAAATAATAAACGATTTTCCTGTAAAATTATTAGCGATTTGATTGTAGGAAGGAAAAAACTTAATAGCAGCAGGAAGCAAGACTATCTCCTTTTTGTTATTTATGAACTTTTCTAATATAGTTATACTTGCAATTTTAGCCCGCATTACTTCCATCTTGTAAATTTTATGGAGAGAAGGGAACATTTTATTCCATTAAAATATACTACACTTGATAATTTAAAATTTATTTAATGAGATAATTTGATTTTTTATATTAAATAACACATTTTACGGGGTTGAAAAATGTCAATCATCTTACTAATATCAATTTAATAATTTTTATAACTATCTAATGAGGGATAAAGGCAAAAAAGTATGTGTATCAAAACACAACAAACATTTTATTATTCATTTAAAGATAAACAAAAAATATTATAAGTACATCTTATTACGAATTCCAAAATACAAAAAATATAAAAAATGAAATTACGAATTCTTTTTAATCTCCAAATGTAATTTATCTGCAATCATTTTATTATTTTCTCATTATAAGATTATAATTAATTTTAAATTTGTTCATTATTATTTTTTATCTTAGCCAAAAATAAAAAACCAATAACAAGTAATGATGGTGAATACATTATTATAATTTAGTAAGTCTCTCTTTATGGGTAAATTCTCTCTCTCTATTTTTTATTGTACCTAATTAAATGCAAGTCTATATTTAGGAATTTCTAGATTCATATGCCCCATTTGTTGTGTCCGACGATGATCGAAAATAAGTAAAATAAAAATAAAAATGGAAAGGGAATGAATTAATAACAATAATTTAAAAAGTGTAGAGAGATAAGATAACGATACATAGAATAAAGTAAACAACATACAATTCAACGTGCTCTGATTCCTTTTACTTTTCGTCCCTCCTATTCGTGAAACAACCATTGTTTTCAGATTCTAAGCTTTTGTTTGTGCCAAACCGGATCTAAAACATCCTCAAAATTCTCCAACTCGAATATCCTTAATCCAAAAACAATGAGTTCTTCAAGAACAGTGAGGAAACTACAGGTTCTGTCCCCTGTTCCAGCAGATATAGACATTGCTAACTCAGTTGAACCTGTTCATATCTCTGAGATTGCCAAAGACCTCAATCTTAGTCCCAATCATTATGACCTTTACGGAAAATATAAGGCCAAGGTAATTTTTTTTTCTTAATATTTTTATTGATTACTAGGTAGTGGGTATTCATGTGTCCGTTGTGGTTGCTTCCCACTTCATCGCTTCTTGTCCCCTTCACTTTCTACACTAAGGTTTGTTGAGCGGATTGATAGTATAGTTAAAAAAAGGTTTAGATTTGAATTACATATTCTCTAAAATCGGCAGGTTTATTATTAGTTTATGATAATATGTAAGAAAGAATGTTTAGATTAAGAAGTTATGTTAGATTTCTATTATATGTAAATGATTAGTTACCCATGGAGGAAGTTTCTTCATTACTCTAACTCTATTACCACTTAGGATATATATTACACATTGTTGATATTTTTTTTGGAGCTGATGACCCTCTCCTCCCTAGTAATGGTGAGATTTGATCCCAGATACAATAGGCTTAACCAGCTGTGTTTGTTTGGATATATCACTTTTGGTTAACAACTTATGAACAATTTTGGCTGATTGTGTTGATGTTACATTCTCAGCCTTTTAGCTTAGCTGAATAGTCATTTGAATGCACAGGTTTTGTTGTCCGTTCTTGATGAACTGCAAGGATCAGAAGATGGGTATTATGTTGTGGTTGGAGGTATTACTCCAACTCCTCTCGGAGAAGGCAAATCCACTACTACAGTGGGGCTCTGTCAAGCTTTGGGTGCTTTTCTTGATAAAAAGGTAGTCAGTCTTCTTCTTATCTTCTACATTTATGGCATTGCGCCCACCTCTTTATCTGATACTGAACTCAATATGGGTGTTTTAAAGTTTCTTAACTCTAAAATTAAGATATCATTTTAATATTCTTTACTTTTGTTCCAAAACTTGATGCCTGCAAACTTTGGATCAAATTGATGATGGTTGGTTAATTGGTAATTAGTCAACCTGTCTGAATCTTTTGGGAGCATTGTTTGTTTATTATACTATGCATCACATATTCTTAAGCATGACTGCCACACCTGATAACAATTAAGTCTCTGTATCTTCTTAGGATATATAATGGTCTGACCCTTCCTGGAACCCTGCGCATAGTGAGAGTTTTATGTAGCACCGGGTTGTTCTCCTCCTCCTATCATTCTGAATTTATACGATTAATTTTGATAAATACCATTCTTTGTGCTTTATCCAATAGAAAACAAATCTTTTCATTATATTTTGGAAGTATTATCCGATGTTATATTTTTTTTCCTAATGTCATTCATGAGATGACTGGATTTAGGAATTGTACATTCATCATTTAGGTCTTAACTGGTGGTTGTGAGGGTCCAAGATATTAATGGAAAACTACAATTTTTAATCATATTTCAAGGTTATGCTGGATATATAATCCCATCTTATCTCTTTTTGTTAGGTAGTCACCTGCCTACGTCAACCATCACAAGGGCCTACTTTTGGAATCAAAGGAGGTGCGGCTGGTGGTGGTTATAGCCAAGTGATTCCCATGGATGAATTCAATCTTCACCTCACAGGAGATATTCATGCGATAACTGCAGCAAACAATCTTCTAGCTGCTGCAATTGATACCCGAGTTTTCCATGAGTCAACGCAGTCAGATAAGGCTCTTTTTAACCGGTTATGCCCTCCAAATAAAGAAGGAAAAAGGAGCTTTAGTGATATCATGTTTAGGCGTTTGAAGAAGCTTGGTATTTCAAAGACCAATCCTGACGATCTTACACAAGAAGAAGTAAATAAATTTGCTAGGCTTGATATTGATCCTGATTCTATTACATGGAGGAGAGTAATGGACATCAATGACCGATTCTTGAGAAAAATTACTATTGGTCAGGGACCTGATGAGAAAGGAATGATAAGAGAAACAGGATTTGATATTTCAGTGTCTAGTGAGATAATGGCTGTTTTGGCGCTGACAACATCCTTAGCTGATATGAGAGAGAGGCTTGGGAAAATGGTTATTGGAAATAGCAAGAGTGGGGATCCTGTAACCGCTGATGATCTAGGTGTTGGAGGTGCTTTAACGGTTTTAATGAAGGATGCCATTCACCCCACCCTTATGCAGACTCTGGAAGGATCCCCTGTGCTTGTTCATGCAGGTCCATTTGCAAATATTGCTCATGGGAATTCTTCTATTGTGGCTGATAAGATTGCACTGAAGTTGGTGGGACCAGGCGGATTTGTAGTCACTGAAGCTGGTTTTGGTGCTGATATTGGAACTGAAAAGTTTATGAACATTAAGTGTCGATATAGTGGTTTGACACCTCAGTGTGCGATTGTTGTGGCAACAATAAGGGCACTAAAAATGCATGGTGGAGGGCCAGCAGTTGTTGCTGGAAAACCTCTTGACCATGCATATTTGACTGAAAATGTTGCTTTGGTTGAGGCTGGTTGTGTGAATATGGCACGGCATATATTAAATACAAAAGCTTATGGTGTGAATGTTGTAGTTGCTATCAACAAGTTTTCAACTGACACTGAAGCTGAGCTAAATGCGGTTAGGAATGCTGCTTTAGCTGCTGGGGCTTATGATGCTGTAATTTGTACCCATCATGCCCATGGTGGCAGAGGAGCAGTAAGTTCATGCTTCGCGAGTCTTACATTTGAGCTAACAAAGAATTCATACCTAGCTTTTACCCTGATACAAAAATATAGGAAATTGAATTATAACAATCAGGAAGGCCAAAGGAGAAAATAGAGAAATGTTAGAAGCAAAAGATAGCTGTTGATTAATTTGTGGCCCAACAAATTCATAGCGAGTCTTACATTGTGCAATAGATAGCATTTTTAATTTATGTTAGAAAGAATACCCTAATAATGCTTGTCGTAACACAAATCTATCCATCCCATGGTTTTGGCTTGAGTATGAAACCATTTCAGGGCTACATTTAGCAGCACAATTTTATTTATATATATGCATGTAACAGGATACAATACAAGTCATAGTATCATTTTGGAACGGTATTAATTTCTTGCTGAATTATGATTTGTCATGATTCAGGTTGATCTGGGCGTTGCAGTTCAGAAAGCTTGTGAGAATGTGACACAGCCATTGAAGTTCCTATATCCTCTGGATTTGGGTATTAAAGGGAAAATAGAGGCAATAGCAAAGTCATATGGAGCCAGTGGCGTTGAGTTCTCAGAGCAGGTGATCTCATCTCTTGTATGGTTATGACGACAGTTTACTTTAACTTCAGCAGAGTACTACACCCTTTATTTTACTAGCCAAGATTTTTATTTTTTTGTGGAGACAGAAAAAGGTTTTATTAGAGAGGAAAGGGAGAAAGTAAAACCAGGGGAGGATAAGAAATCCTCCAAAACTACCAAAACCTATCTACAAAACAGATGCTTAATCTCTCTACATATTAGAGATAGCAACTCACTTGAAGTAGCCATGAGTAGAACACTAAAGAGAAGCCATGAACATAATTCTATCCCATGGCAAGTTTATTAAGGGGGGAAAGAGACATCCTTAAAGATGCGAGGATTCCTACCAACCACACACATCAAAGGACTACATAAACTACAAACTGCACAAAGTTTTAGTCTCCTTGGTTTTACCAAATGCTTTTTGTTAGAGAAGTATCAAAACCATTAATGTAGCCTTACATAACAGCTTAAGCTTTTAGGTTGAATTGGTTCTTTACATGGTATTTGAGCCTGGTTGTCACGGGTTCGATCCTCACCGCCCCCATTTAATTAATAATCAATTATGTCTTGTGGAGTTTCTTAGTACAAGTAGGTAGGCCTGAGCATTGTCCACCCTTTAAGCCCAGTGGGCTCTAATGTGAGGAGGCGTGTTAGAGAAGTATTAAAACCATTAATGTAGCCTCACCTAACAACTTAAGTTTTTGGTTTATAGATGTACCTATAATTGTTAATTAGTTGTTGAATACAAACAGAAAATTTCTATTGGATGGCCTCTTTTGACTACCTGATTGGCATTCTCATTGTATAACTAGGCTGAGAAGCAGATTGAGATGTATAGCAAGCAAGGCTTTTCAGGTCTTCCAATCTGCATGGCTAAGACACAGTATTCTTTCTCAGACAATGCTGCAGCAAAGGGTGCTCCCATTGGGTTTATCTTACCCATAAGGGATGTAAGAGCTAGCATAGGAGCTGGATTTATTTATCCTTTAGTTGGAACAATGAGTACGATGCCAGGGCTTCCAACAAGGCCATGCTTCTATGACATTGATATTGATACAACAACTGCAAAAGTCATTGGTCTCTCTTAAACCTCAAATGCCTCCCACTCTACCACTTACAAAGACTTCATGGATGCTATTTACATATCCCTTTACAAAGTTGACGAATGTCACAGTAACATAAGCCTCCTCCTTGTTTCTAGTTCGTTTGCTTGGTGATCTTAATCTATATGAATGAAACACGTATTTAAGGAGAATAATTTTTTTCTTCTCGTATTTCTATTTTAATTGAGTTGATGCAAAATATTCCTCTCGAGCGAATACATTACAGGCACACAGAATTCGTGGAATAAATATAAAATGGAGGTGTCAAGGTTTCCATCATAATTTTCCTTATTGTGAGGATCGAACCCGGGACACGAGGCTCTGATACCATGTGAAGAACCTTGGGATACACCACCCCAAAAGCTAGCTCAAAGGGTGGGAGTGCCCAAAGCTTTATAAACTCCACATTAGTTGCTCATACCACCAATGTGGGACTATATATTTCTCCCCCTCACACGAGAGCTCACTGGCACAGGCCCACCTACCTGTGCGAACAAAGAAATTTCACTTGAAAGAAAGTGGGGGGCGGTGAGGATCGAATTCGGGACACGAGGCTCCGATACCATGTGAAGAACCTTGGGATACACTACCCCAAAAGCTAGCTTAAAGGGTGGGAGTGTCCAAGACCTTATAAATTCCACATTAGTTGTACATACAACCAATGTGGGACTATATATCTCAACACTTATAAATTAGGAAAATTTTGGAAACTGGAGGCACATTTATCTGTTTTTCTCTCTCATTTAAGTTTAGAAAATTGCTGTAACACGTATGGCAATTATCTCCGCTAGAAAAATGTAGTGGAGTAAATGGTTCCTTTGTTACATAGTAACATTTCTTTGCATATATAAGTTCACGTAGTAAATTAGAATCAGCAGTTTCCCTTTAATTAATTTATGGATGAGAAAAGGGAATGGTGATAAAAGAAGTTGAAAAGAAAACAAAGATGAAAATGGAAGAAAAACGAGCAAGTTTGTTTGGTGAGAAAGGATGGGAAGAGATAGAAAGAAATTATTATAATTTTTAAAGTGAAACGCAGCGGATCACTTAAAAGAATGTAATTTTTATATATATATATATATGTTGGTTATTACCTAAAATATAAAATTTTCATGCTTTGTTGCAAGTTCATTAGACATTTTATCTATCTAAAAATAGAAATATGAGATATAACATGTCTTGATTCTTTTTCTTGTTGTAAATAACAAAAAGGAGAAAAAATAGTTTGCCATGCATGCACGTAGATTCGTGGAGGGCTGTGCGTACATGTGAAACGACGAAAGCGGCTTATACATACATTCCTTGGTATCCTCCTTTCTTCTCTCATTTGTAAGTTAAAGCACAGTCTGTTCTCTTCTCTTATCTCTTGCTGCCTCCAAAGATAGCATTACAACATCTTTTCACACGTTTTCTTTTGCTATTTCATCTCTTCTTCTTCTTTTTTTGCAGAAGAACAAGTTGTGTAATCAGTAACAGATGGTGGATTCTCCATTAACTTCGAGGTACCGTTTACTCACAAGATCAGATTCCATGCGCTTCATCGCTTCCAGAGGAACAACGAGCTTTGCCTATGGTTTCGCATTTGCTTCTGTTTTGTTTATGCTGTTGCTCATTCTAAATCCTTCTTCCTATCAATTAACTCCCAGGCTGAGAAATGCCTTTCACTCTTCACGTAGATATCATTTTTCTAAAGTTTTTGGTCACATATTCACCAACTCTTCGTTTTCTCCACCACCCCTTTACAACCCTTATAGCACCAATGACAACACTACTCACAAAAGTTCAAGGACAGAAATGTCCTCAGTAAACTCAAGTACTGTCAGTTCTGAGAATAGGCTTGGGATTTCTCCTTCTTCCTCTCAAATTTCCAGAAAGGAAGGTTCAGGCCTCACACCAAAAGGCAGTAACCAGAAGGAGGGATTGAGAAAGGATGGTGTTCCCCCACCAGCTGCTAGTATACAACCACAACAACAAAAGCCTTCTCCCACTAAAATGGGTTCTCAAAATGTGACTCAAGGTGAACATTCACATTGGAGGGACAATTGTGATATGTATGAAGGGTCATGGGTTAGAGATGATTCATACCCACTTTACAGGTCTGGGTCTTGTCCCCATATTGATGAGCCTTTTAACTGTTTCCTCAATGGTAGGAGTGATAATATGTATGAAAAGTTCCGGTGGCAGCCCAAGAATTGCAACATCCCAAGGTATTTTCTGTTGAATTGCTATGGGACTCAAACACAGTGCATGAATATATGCAAAGCTAGTTAGCTATTTTTTTATTTTCTTTTCTTTCTGAGAAGATAGAGAGATGAATTCTGTTTGTCTTGCTATACCTTTTGGTTCCCTTTTACTGAGACAAGTGTGTGCAGGTTAAATGGTAACGACATGTTGGAGATACTGAGAGGAAAACGTTTAGTCTTTGTTGGTGATTCCCTCAATCGGAATATGTGGGAATCTCTGGTTTGTATTCTTAGAAATTCAGTGGAAGATAAGAACCAAGTTTTTGAAGCCTCTGGTAGAGAAGAATTTCGGACAGAGGGTTCTTACTCATTTATCTTCACAGTATGTGATATGTTACTCCCTCACTATGTTTAAGATGAGATTTTTATGGTTCTTTATATATTTTCCTATTTACTTTGACTGGTTCATTAGCCAACAACTAAAACAAATGTGTGTGTGGAAGTTTGCAGATATTACTTTACAGTTTATCACTAAATGATCAATGATCAAAGATCCAGAAATTGAAATAAATTATACCCTTTTCTTAAAGCTTGAATAATATTAGTGCTCAAATTTATGTTGGGGTTACTGTTCTATATTAGAAAATTGATTTTAGTTGCTTCTTGGTTAATGATTGAACAGGGTTACAATTGTTCAGTTGAGTTTTTCCGTTCGCCATTTCTTGTTCAAGAGTGGGAGATTCCAGACAGGAAAGGATCAACGAAAGAAACCCTTCGTCTTGATTTGGTTGAGAGATCTTGTGATAAGTACAAAAGTGCAGATGTTCTGATTTTCAACACAGGTCACTGGTGGACTCATGAGAAAAGAATGGAAGGGTAATGCTGCTTCTTCTTTTTTTCTTTCTTCTTTTTTCTTGGTAGAAGTGAAGTGATGTTGCTTTTCTATTCCCCACATATTTAGGACAGACAGGGTTAATGAAAATTAAGATGACAACGTTTTAAGCAACTTGCAGGAAGGAATACTATCAAGAAGGAAATCATATCCATGGACAATTGAATGTTGAGGAGGCATTTCATAAGGCTTTGATGACATGGTCACAATGGGTGGATTCCAATATTGATCCTAAGAAAACTTCAGTTTTCTTCAGGGGCTATTCTCCGTCTCACTTCGGGTAAAAGAGCATTTTGTTTATTGAATGCTTTGGATTTAGGACTCTATATATATAATCATATTTTTTTTTTTCTGCTACAGGGGTGGAGAGTGGAATTCAGGTGGTCGGTGTGAGAATGAAACAGAACCAATAAAAGATGAGCATAATTTATCAGAAAATCCTCCAATGATGAGGACCATTGAGTCAGTAATTAAGAAAATGAAGACTCCAATCTTCTACTTGAACATCACCAAAATGACTGATTTCCGACTTGATGCTCACCCTTCCATGTACAGAAACACGAATATGACTGAAGAAACAAAAAAATATATGCTTACACACCAGGATTGTAGCCATTGGTGTCTCCCTGGTGTTCCTGATTTGTGGAATGAATTAGTGTATGCTCACCTTTTATCTAGCATGAACAGAAACATGGGCAAACCCCAAAAATAGTTTTTGATATATTGTTGAAACGTACAAAACAACAGCACAGGCTTCATTTTATGTTTGTGATTTAATCAGTTAGTAAATTGAATAACCAGGCTGTGTAATTATTTCATTCTCACGTACAAATATGATTAGAACTTATTCTTCTTTTCGAATTCTTCCTCTCAAAAGCTAGAGGGAGGATCATTGAATTCAAGGAAGTTAATAATGAAGCGATAAAAGACCAGATTTAAACAAGTGCAGGAGTGAGTATCACTGAATCCAACTAAATCAGTGCAAAACTCACAAGCCAAAATAGTTGTTACAAATTCATACAACATTGATTCAACTCATCCTTTAATCTATGTTTCTCCTCTAAGAATCCTTGCAAGAGCAATCTAATCTTTCCTTATTGAGGCTAAAGTGATATCTCAAGAAACAGATCTTGTTATAGTAACCCAAAGCCACCAGTGAAACCCACAAGTTCTAGATGAGAAAAAAGAAACTCAATAGATCTACGAAAGTTGTTTGGCAGCAGCAATAACAGCTTCCTTGGTGATACCAAACTCCTTGTATATTTTTCCTGCTGGAGCACTTGCTCCAAATCGATCAATGCCTATGGCTTTTCCCTTGCTTCCAACAATTTTTGCCCAACCAAATGTTGATCCAGCCTCAATGCTAACCCTAGCTGATACAGAAGCAGGTAGAACACTCTCCTTATATTCATTTGACTGTTCATCAAAAAGTTCCCAGCTAATAAAAGAAACAACTCTAACAGCCTTTCCTTCTTTCCTCAGATCCTCACCAGCTGCGGCAGCAATTTCCAACTCAGAACCAGTTCCAATCAAAATAACATCAGGCTTGTTACCTGATGAGTTGTCCGAAATGGTGTAGCCACCCTTTTCAACTCCTTCAATAGAAGTTCCTGCAAGTTGGGGCAACTTTTGCCTAGAAAGGGCAAGAATTGAAGGTCTCTTCTTGTTAAGCACAGCAACTTTGTATGCTCCAGCAGTTTCATTACCATCAGCTGGACGAAGCATCAAAATATTTGGCATTGCCCTGAAGCTTGCCAAGTGCTCTATTGGCTGATGAGTTGGTCCATCCTCTCCAAGTCCAATCGAATCATGGGTCATAACATAAATAACTCCAGCTTCACTCAGGGCAGAAATCCTTATGGCAGCTCTCATGTAGTCAGTGAAGACAAAGAAAGTTGCACAGTATGGAATGAATCCAGGGCTATGAAGAGCAATGCCATTGCAGATTGCTCCCATCCCGTGTTCCCTAACACCAAATCTAACATTGCGCTCTTCAGGAGTATTCTTTTGGAAATCTCCAAACATTTTCAACAAGGTCATGTTGGAAGAGGCAAGATCAGCACTGCCACCAAGCAGGCCCGGAAGAACCTTAGCAAGGGCATTTAGACATTGCTGAGACAGATTTCTTGTAGCATCAGGAGGGCTTTCTGGAGTGTAAGTCTGAAAGTTGGAATCAAATTGGAAGGGTGATCAAAGATTGATGGAAATCAAGTTTTATTTATCTTGTACTGGTATGAAGTAAAAGTGTGGTGATGAACATGATATTTAATATGAACTTTAACACTTGTTGACATAAGATTATTTTCCATTTTGGATTGGGCATTATGCAACTATTAAGGAGATACCTCATAAAGATTAGGTGAAACCTAGAAGTTTGGCACTTTTTTTTTTTGTTTGATAACAAGCAGTTTAGCACTTTACTCACCGGAAGTGCTTTCTCCCAACCAGCAGGTAATTCACCACTAATAATAGACTTTAGCTCTGCAGCTTCCTCCTTGTATTTCTTCTCATATTCAGCAAACTTAGCATTCCACTCAGCTTCAAGTGCAGAACCCTCAGGGACATGGCGACTCCAATGCCTAATGAAAGTTAAGCAAGTTTAATTAAAGATCATGAAAAATCTCAGTAGACTAACAGGAAACAAAGATATCTCTAACTCTCCCTCCATACTTTTTAACATCTTCTGGCACATGGAAGGCATCATATGGCCATCCAAGATTCTTCCTTGTAGCATCCACTTCTTTAGCACCCAATGCACTTCCATGAACACTGTAGGAGTTAGCCTTGTTTGGAGAACCATATCCAATGGTAGTGGTTACCTGTGTAATATGAAATGACCAACGTTAAAGCTGAATAAAACTGATATAATACCCAACAATGTGTATATAATGGTTTACTTTCACTCACTTCACAGCAATCACATTTTGCTACTTTGACTAGTATAATCAAGTTATATATATAATGGATTGGATAAATCCAATTAGTTCAATCTCCATTTCAAGTAACTGACCTTGATCAAAGTGGGTCTGTCTTTGACAGCCTTTGCTTCCTTGATGGCTGCACGAATTTCATCATAGCCAGTATTTCCGTTCTTCACCCAAATTACATGCCATCCGAGTCCCTCAAAACGTTTATCCACACTCTCAGTGAATGCAATTTCAGTGTCACCATCAATGGAGATATGGTTGTCATCATAGAAAGCAATAAGCTTCCCTAGACCCCAATGCCCAGCAAGTGAGCATGCTTCATTCGAAATTCCCTCCATTTGACAGCCATCACCCAATATACAATATCTGTAGGAAAACAATAAATAAAAAAGAAATGTCATTAGTAAAACACCAAGCAAGCAAGGCCTTACAAGTTCATAGATCACAATGTAGAGAGAGCGAGGGGGTAGTGAACAAGATGAAGTTATCTTACGTGTAATGGTCAACAATCTCACTGTCAGGCTTGTTAAATCGTGCGGCCAAGTGCTTCTCAGCAAGTGCCGATCCAACGGCATTGGCAATGCCTTGACCCAGAGGGCCTAAACAAAATATGAGGATAATTGGGTTAACATACAGAACACAGCAAAAAAACTCATATTAATAACAAAAACTAAAGACATATTTGAGTCTCGGACCTGTGGTTACTTCAACTCCAAGTGTCTCAAAGTTCTCAGGATGTCCAGGAGTTTTGCTTCCCCATTGTCGGAAACCCTTCAAGTCTTCTTCCTATTATTCAACCCGGACATAACAAATTCAGCATAATGAAGATCCCACAGCTAAAAGGTTAATATGAACTTTTGGTGGGGATATATCACGTCACTTCTCATCAAAACAGATAAAACAAATTGTTACACAAATTTTTAAAGGATTCTAAACAGTTTCACTAATCAATGAGAATGAGTTAAACAGATGGTAGAACAGCAAACAACATTACTAATACTACATTATTGCAAATGCAGATGACATGAAGATCACAACAATTTGAAATCCATCCTTGGAATTTCAGGAAACAGTTTTTCAAGCACAGAATTGGATGCTCATAGATCCAATTCATTCCCAATATCAAAAAGAAAAGGAGAAGGAAAATTCACCTGAACACTATCATACCCTGCAAGGTGAAGAAGAGCATATTGAAGCATGCAGCCATGGCCAGCAGACAAAATAAAACGGTCACGGTTGAACCAAGTGGGGTTCTTAGGATTGTACCTCATGACCTCATCATAGAGAATATGACCCATTGGAGCACAACCCATTGGAAGACCAGGGTGACCAGAATTAGCCTTCTCAACAGCATCAATGGAAAGGAACCGAATGGTGTTGATGGATTTCTCTACAAGAGAAACCTCAGTAGTCTTGTTGAGTGTCTCAACAGCAGTGGCTCTAACAGTGTTGCTAGAACCAACCCTGCGACGTGAACCTGAAGAGGAGGTAGCTGGTTTGCATGAAGAAGTGGAAGAATGTGACTTGAGGCCAGAGAAAGATGGCATGGAGAGAGTGGAAGTGGAGAGTGAAGCACGTTCAGAAGAAGAATTGAAGCCATGAAGGTAAACAGCACGGGCCAAAAGGGCTTGGGATAGATGCAAAGAGGAAGAGGAAGCCATGGTTTAGAGTTAAGAGTTTGATAAATCAACAACCACTTGGGTTGTTGTTGTTGTTGTTGTTGTAGTAGTAGTAGTAGTGAAGAACAAGAGTGTTGAGTTGAGGTTGTTGTTGTTGTTGTTGTTGTGAGTAACAGAGACAAAGGGAAGGTATGCACGAGGTGGATGATCTATAGATTATTAATGTGATCCACAGGCTGTGGAGTGCGGACAATCTTAGCCTATGATTGTGGCTAGCTCCTTCCTACTTCTCTACCTCTCAATCTCAAACTCAAAAGATAAAAAAAAATTATGATAATCTATTTTATAAATTTATAGTAGCATATTCGAATCTTGTTCTTTTTCTTTTTATAATGAGAAAATAATTGTATCGTTGGCTCTTGCTTTCGTATGAAGTTAAGGGAAATGAAAGTATAATATCGCATAATACAAGTCTTATAATTATGTAATTTTAATATTATATAGTTATAATATTTTTTTTTTCTCTTTAAAACTTGTCAACTTGTCGATTGATGTAGAAAGAAAAAAAAAAAATTTAATATTATATCTATATATTATACAAAATACATAGTTATAACTTATAATGACATGATAAATCTTACATCCTACAAAAAGACATGTACCCATAGTTTTCTATATTCACATATTGTTCTCTTTCTTTTCTATAAAACCAATCTGAGTGTTAAGCTCTCTCTCTTTTTCTTTCTATAACAACATATATTTTTTAAAAGAGTTTTAAATCGTATATCAAGTGTGTATTATTGTGAGTGTACATGATTAGGTAAGAGATCATAAACTTCTCCAATTGATTTTTTGTGGTTCAACTCGGAAAGGAACTTTGATACCGCTCCACTTTAAGTTTTCTGAGCAATAACTTTCCTCTTCTATTTTTATTTTTATAATGACATATGAATTGTATCTTTTTTCTCATATCATTTATTGTTATATATATATATAGGGGAGAGATCATTTGACTCCAGAGTAAAACTTATAAATCTTACTCTTCATCTTAGCCGTTGATTTCCGTCCATCCAACGGTTATAGTTTAAGAAATTAAATTAATTAATTAATTATTAATTACACCATAAATGACAACCGTTGATTTTCGTTCATCAACGGCTGAGATAGGGAGTAAGACTTAAAAGTCTTACTCTGGACTCAAAAGAACCCTCCCCATATATATATATACACACACATATATATATATATATATATATATACACACACATATATATATATATATATATATATATATAATTATATATATGTGTGTATATATATATATATGGGGAGGGATCTTTTGACTCCAGGGTAAGACTTACAAGTCTTGCTCCCCATCTCAACCATTGATTTCCGTCCATCTAACGGTTATTATTTATTTGAAATTAATAATTAATTAATTGGGGGGAGGGATCTTTTGACTCCAGAGTAAGACTTACAAGTCTTACTCCCCATCTCAACCATTGATTTCCGTCCATCTAACGGTTATTATTTATTTGAAATTATGGGGAGGGATCTTTTGACTCCAGAGTAAGACTTACAAGTCTTACTCTCCATCTCAACCATTGATTTCCGTCCATCTAACGGTTATCTATACCAATTAATTAATTATTAATTTCAAATAAATAATAACCGTTAGATGGACGGAAATCAATGGTTGAGATGGAGAGTAAGACTTGTAAGTCTTACTCTGGAGTCAAAAGATCCCTCCCCTGACTCCAGAGTAAGACTTACAAGTCTTACTCCCCATCTCAACCATTGATTTCCGTCCATCTAACGGTTATCTATACCAATTAATTAATTATTAATTTCAAATAAATAATAACCATTAATTTCAAAAGATCTCTCCCCTATATATATATATATGTGGAAATAAGACTTTTCATGTTGTATGAGAAGTCTCCTCTCCTACCACTCTCACTTCAATGTCCGTGCCAATCACTTTTTTATTTTTTATTTTTTCTTTAAGATGGGCACCACCCCTTTCTCTCTCTATGAAAACTTGAATTTATTATGCAACATGAGAAATTACAAGCCCTATATATATATATGGGATATGATCAATTTACACAGGTGTAAGAATAATGATTCAGAACCAGGTGTGCATGGGTCAGGTCGGATCAGGTATTATATATATATATATATATATATATATATATATATATATATATATATATATATATATATATATATATATAGACCCGACCCGCTTTAATATGATCCAAGTCAGGTTTGACTTTGTTTGGATTTTTTTGAACTAGTTCAGAACCAGGTCAGATTTGATCTGACTTGGTTTCTGAAGAGGGTCTGACTTGGTTTCTGAAGTGGGTCAAATCCGACCTGACCCATTTTTGCCTTGGTTTCGTCATAAAATTTCGTCGAAATTTCTACGTTGCAAACGACGAAGATTTCGTCACAAAATTATTTTTTCGTCGAAATACTTTTTGTCAAAAAGCAACGAAATTTTTTCTCTAATGATTTTTTTTTAAAAAATTAATAAAAATTAGTTTCCGTCAAAAGTTTTGACGAAAATGATTTCCTCCATCAAATGTTTTAAACAAAAAAAGAATTCCGTCAAAAATTTTGGCAGAATGTTTTTGTTCAAAATTTTGATAGGAATTTGTTCTCATGAAAATTTCGACAAAAATTGTTTTAAGGGAAATGTTTCATTCGAAACTTTCGACGAAATTTAGATTCTCTAAAGAATTTTGACAGAATATTTTTTCCGTCAAAATCTTTTATCCAAATATTTTTACTAAAATTTTTGACAAAAATGTATTCCGTTGAAAATTTTGATGGAAATGTTTTTTATCAAAAGTTTTGACGAAAATTTTCGATGGAAATGTGTTTCGCTAAAAATTTTGACGAATTTGTTTTTTGTCAAAAAGTTTAACGAAAATGTTTTTGTCGAAAAATTTCGCCGAAATTTGAATTCTGTAAAGAATTTTGAGGATATTTGTTTTCGTCAAAAAATTTCGATGGAAATATGTTTCGTCGAAATTTTTGATAAATATGTTTTTTTGTGAAATATTTTGATGAAATTTAGATTCTATAAAAAAATTTGACAAAAAAATTTTTTCGTCAAATTTTTTTACAAAAATAATTTTAGTCACAAATTTTGATGGAAATAGTTTCCGTAAAAAAATTTAACGTAATTATTTTACGTTAAAACTTTTCTTTTAATGTAATTGTTATTTTTTTTTCTCTTTTTTTTCACATAATGGGTATGGGTCAAGTTTTGGGTCAATAAGTTATTATTAAAACAAGTGAAGTGTAAAACTGATCCAAATAAAAGTGGGTCATTATTTAACACCAGTTGAAAAAAATAAGTATTTATAGGTCAGATCTAGGTCAGATCAAGAGCAGTGAACTAATTTTTTTTTCACACCCCTACTTGAAAGTGTTTAGTCAAGGATTGAATTTTTAACCTTAAAATTCAAAGAGAATTACTTTTAACCACTACAACCAACACATATTGAGTTCATTTTCATATTTTGAAATAGATGATAAACCATATAATAATAGTAGTATAATCATATAACGAGTAGTTAGCTTAATTTTTTGTGAAGTTTATTTTAATTGCCACTGATTCTAACATATTCAAATAACAATATCAATGTTAAAGGAATTCGAAATTTGGCACTTTTTATCTATTGATTTTTTTTTAAAAGTATATACACAAAATATTCTAGCACATGCCAATACTTTGTTTTATCTGCTTGTTTAGATAAGCTGGTTAAATCTTGCTGACATCGGAGCAGAACCACAAATCTTCAACCGCTTTGAGTGGCAACTATAATTTATCAAAGATAACCAAAAAACAAAAAAACTTTAAGCGAAATGTAATCAATATGGGAAAAATGTTTCCACATAGAAGTTATCTGCATTTATTTCTAAAACGACGTCGTTTTGATATTAAAATTTTAAAAAATTATAAATATAAAGACTATTATAACCCTAAAATAAATTAAAATTACAAAAATACCATGATTTCCGTCCCAAACGACGTCGTATTGGCTTACCGCAGATAACTTATATGCAGTAAAACTGCAGAAAAAACGAACCCAATTAATATATATATATAAATTGTATAAAAAATGTAATTATTTATAAAGTATTATTAACGCATGCCTTAGAACACAGGATAAGAAATTAAAAGTATAAATTATGAAATAAAAAATAACTATTTAGTATTTTAAAAACTAAAAAATATTTAATATTTTATTTTGAAGTGATTAAATAACTAATAAACATCGTCTGATTTCTAAACCTCATTTTTTTTAATATTTGATTTCTAAACCTCTTTCCCTAATAGATCCAGTTTAGGTTTGTGTAACATATGGGCCAGCCCACATACCCGTAATGACGATAAGCCCTAAAACTGTGGGTTGCTGAGGTCAGCTTCACAGCCCAATAGGGAATGGCCCATTCATTTCTTCAAAGTCAGAAACGTCTCTCTCTCTCTCTCTCTCTCTCTCTCTCTGCTCTGTTCTGCTCCCGATTGCCGCGATGTTGCGGAGGAGTTCTGTTACCTCCTTGTATTCCAGATTTGTACGTTCTTCTTCTTCTTCTTCTTCTTCTTCTTCTTCTCACAATCTGAACAACCTTAATCATCTCTGCTCCACTTCTTCGAATCCCAATCTCTGCGCTTCATCTGCACTTGATCTATCAGCTTCAGCGTCTAAAGTTACTGACCTCGTGTCCTTCACTCGCCACTATGGAAGGTGCTATTGGGAGCTTTCCAAAGCTCGTCTCAGGTTTTGTTTCTAAATTCAATTCATCTCTTTTTATAGATTTCCCTAACTGCGTCTTTAACAGTTATGCTATTTCGTGCGTATGCTCTGATCCTTGTTTTAAATTAAGGGGTTAATTTATCTTATTTCCTATTATTCAATAAATTAATAGGACACGCCACTGCTAACTGCGTTGCTTTCTTCTCCATCTTTGTTCATTAGAGTTAAATCTTCATTCCTCTTTCACTTCATTTCATCATCTTTGGACGTAGATGCTAGTTATAACTTGTAATATATGAAAAATATATTCTAATGATTGTATCTTACAATAGTTTAGCATATCTTATTTGACTAGGATTTGGAGTCTAATATTAGTGTTAATTGGGATTAGTGCCTTGTATCTCGTCAAATCAATACCAATTTTTATTATCTCTTTTCTACCTAAGTCCTATTAATTTCAACAATGTCCTCTTGACTTTTTGAACTTTCACATGCCATACATAACAATCCGCTATCTTTCTCGCTAGCTTTTGCACGCCTATTTTGTTTGAATTTATATTTTTTCCATAGCATTTATTGTGCTGAAACGCTTTCAATTTTTTTGTTATACAACATACAACAGCCTCTTTGCAAATTATGCAAATGTAAGGCTGCGTACAAAGATTACCTACACCCCACACTCGCTAGTCGAGTTTAAGTGAGAGTGATTTTAGTGGTTTTTTACAGCATACAACATTTTGATTAATCATTTTCTAACTCAATTCCAGCATGCTTGTTGTTGCAACTTCGGGGACTGGATTTGTCTTGGGGAGTGGTAGTGCTGTTGACCTTTCGGCACTTTCTTGGACTTGCTTGGGCACCATGATGGTTGCTGCATCTGCTAACTCTTTGAATCAGGTTGGTTCTTGAGGAGAACATTGTCTTACTATACTGTTGTCTGTTGTGTGTGGTTTGTTTTTCTTTTTCTTTTTTTTCTTTTTTTTTTATAATATTAAACTGTGTGGCTTATTTTACTTTCTCTTGAGAGAGTCAGCAAAATTAAGAGCACATTCTGTGCACAAGAATGATGATTCCGTTCTTACTTCCATTCCCCTAGAATGAGCATTCCTTTATTTGGTACAAAAATGTCATGGAATTACCATCTGGTCCCAACCCTGTTCCCAGACATATGAATCACCATTCTCTCCTTCAGAGGTGGGAATGCTGGTTCCTAACTGGATGGAATGAATCTTTTTTCTTTTTTGGTTTCTCTTTCCCATATATCCCAGTCTTTATACCTAATGAAAAAAGTTCCCTCATATAAACTCATCTAAATCTTCCCGTACATTTTTTTATTCTTACTTGCAACTCTCTTCTATAGTTGTTGTTGTTCCCACTTTCCTACGGCACTGTTATGGTTGCAGTAGGACATATTATTATTGTATAGTGACCTTTTAACTAGATGACTAGATTTTTCCTAAAGTGTGTGTTTTTTCATCCTCCCCTTCCATCTCTTAAGATTCTTGGTCAACGTAAGATATATTCCATGGTTATGTCTTTTAGGTGTTTGAGATCAATAATGATGCGAAAATGAAGAGAACATGTCAAAGGCCACTACCCTCAGGACGCATTTCCATACCTCATGCAGTCAGCTGGGCATCTTCTGTTGGTTTAGCAGGCACAGCTCTGCTAGCAACGCAGGTAGTGAAACAAATTTGTTTACTTCGTTGGTTGTATGTTTTTCTAGTGTAAACTGTTGACCTTCGAATGTATTTCTTACCGAATGTTTCATGTAATTTTGAGTTGAGGGACTAACATTGCTTCTTTATGACAAGGTTGTTCCAGGCTAATATGTTAGCTGCTGGGCTTGCTGCTTCCAACCTGATACTGTATGCCTTTGTATATACTCCATTGAAACAGATTCATCCTGTAAATACATGGGTGGGGGCTGTTGTTGGTGCTATTCCACCACTTTTGGGGTAAATTTTTTACAAGTTTTCTTTTGGCTCTCTTATGTATTGCAAATTTCAGAATGCTTGAGAGATATATTTAAGTGTTTTTTTAATCTTTTGACTATTTGAAATGTAAAATCCCTTTGAAGTTAAATTGTTCTATGCAAGATTGTCACGGAGAGAGTAAGATTTGGCGTAACTTAAAATAATCAGGCCTTTTCAAAAGCTCAACCAAGCACAAAAAACGAAAATGTTTTCCTGTCTCTGTTTTCTTACTATAGTTTCCATATTCATAAAATGAAATTAGGAAACAAAATATAGGAATATTTTCTTTCTTGAATGTTATAGTAAGTGACATGCCAGCCTCTTGTTTCATCTTTCCTATCTGATATAGAGGAGTGCTCAATCCTAAAAGCCAGGCTTCTAAAGGGGGGAAGCCTCTACTTTAATCCCCAAACCAATATGGGGGGAGTCAAGTTCCCGTGTCATTATTTCTCCAATGTTATGGAGTCCTGTGTGTGCGTGCACACAAGAATCCACACACTAGTTTGCATACTCTGTCGTGAATGAGTAAGCATATTTCTATTGATTTTGACTGCTTGATATCAAATATATCTCTTATGTATTTCTTTCTGTGGTAGGGAGACTATTTTTTTCATGCTGATATTTTGTTTAAGTCGAGTTTCCATTGCTAGATAAAAAATTTATTCAACTGATATATTGACCTTCTATTGCTGAATGTGTTATTAGTATTAAATAATTGGCAAAGATTTATTGTAAATCTCATCGTCATCTTCGTGTCTTTGCTGGCCCTCACCTTTTTGTGGTTGATTTTCAGATGGGCTGCTGCTTCTGGTGATATTTCATTAAATGGATTGATTCTTCCAGCTGCATTGTATTTTTGGCAGTTACCACATTTTATGGCCCTTGCCTATATGTGCCGAGATGATTATGCTGCAGGAGGGTATGTTCATGTGTCTTTGTTTATAGTGACAAAAATTTGTTTCATTAAACTATTTTGGTGCCTCCCTAATACAAAACTTGTTTAAGTGGTGGATACCTTTGTTGATGGGGAATTTTCTCTGTTGGAAGCCTATACTTTATGACAGTGATGCCGCTTTGGTACTCAATAATTGATTTATGATTTTTACTAAAGAAATAATAATCAAAATTTCATTTTGGTGATTATTTGTGCAATCAATATCCACCTATAAGTCCTTGAACATGTAAACAAAGAATTGGATGGGTTTAATACCAATCTGGTGCAGGATAACAATTAATTTTTATTTTTATTTTTTAATATAGGAACTTGATAACAACTTAAACTATAAGGAGCTAGAAATTTTTGAAAACGTATAGAGACCTAGAGATTAATTTAATCAAATTTATATTAGCATTTAATAGAAATTTCTTCTTTTTATACTCATTAAATATGGAGTTTATTATACTGATTGCTGCATATGGCTGATGGTCTACAGTCTGCCCTCTAAAATATCTTCCATTCAGTTACTGATGGTCCAAACTATATGATATCCTTTACTTATTGCCACGTGTCTTGCACATTTAGGTTTAGGATGTACTCTCTTGCTGATCCAACTGGGCGGAGAACAGCGTTGGTGGCTTTGAGGAACTCAATATATCTAATCCCTTTGGGGTTCTTGGCTTATGATTGTGAGTGGATTTTTTTTCTACTAGAAATACTTTTTTTTTTTTTTTTTCTTGAGATTTTTTATCTTAATTATCTGGTTCAAGTATTGATTACATGCTTTGATCTCGTAAGTCAAAACCTCATTAAGAAATCTTTCTTAAATAAGATTCTGACTAGTGCATTTTATGGAATTGTATGAATATTTAATAATAATAAAATAAAAAGTTCATAATTTTAATCAAATCAAGAGTATAGCTTCCAAGTCCTTGAGTTTTAAGCCTCTTCACTGACGGCCATGGTATTAGTCAGAGACAACACCTAACAAATTCAGTGTTTGGTTTTGTTAATAATGTTTGTTGCCGTTGTCTTGGGCTCTTGGCCAAACAATTTCAAACCATATTCATATATTTTGTGCTGAAAGACATTTATGTAGCAGCTGGAACACACAACCTTTAACTTTTATATGAAAAGTTTGTTTACTCAGCCATTTAAATTGAATGTCAGTAAGTGAATGGTCTTTCCCCAAATAGTTTGGGATAAAAATGATGTTGATTTCAATGAGTGGATGGCCGAAATGCTAGAAAGTTTTTCATTTTACATTTAATATGAAAAAAAAAAGGGAATGTTTTGGCCACAATGAGAATTTGAGACTCATGTTTCTGAATCTGTCAACAGGGGGTGTGACTTCTGGATGGTTTTGTCTTGAGTCCACTGTACTTACGCTTGCAATAAGCGCTGCAGCATTTTCATTCTATAGAGACCGCACTAAAGAAAAAGCTAGGAGAATGTTCCATGCCAGTCTTCTCTATCTCCCTGTGTTTATGTCTGGGCTTATAATTCACCGTCGTTCCGATAACCAACAATTCTTAGAAGACAATGCTAAGGGTTTTGTGAGATCTTCATCCTCTGTGGACACTTTAGAACTGGATGATAAAAATGATAACCAGAAGATCAAGGGCAGGCGTCCTTATCAGACTCAAGCACGTCCACCTGTTGCATATGCTTCTATTGCACCTTTTCCCTTTTTGCCTGCTCCTTCATATAACGCCCCTTGATATCTATCAGGTGTTCAGCTAACATTTTCTTATGAAGTTTTGTTTGGTTGATATATTCTTTGAAAATGGTACTCTGATTGGCTGTTTAAGCCGTAAAGTTGTTTTATTTTCTGCGTTGAAAATTGCAGAAGCATCAGTAATCTAAAATAAATCATATTTGTTTCTTGCATAGTGTATATTATACAAATAAATTTTCTTATCTTTTATTTTTATTTCCTTTCATTTCCATTCCCCCGCCCTCCATTTTCTCGAGGTTACGTGAATGGACTTCTTTTAGTTTTTGAGTATGCGAAGATGCATGAAAACGTAACGAGGCCATAACAAACAATATAATAAAGCTGCAATTAGCACCTTCAGATCAACATGTAAGAAAATTCAACGCATGGCTGATAGAGAAACTGATTTTAAGGGCAGTATAATTGCTGCATCACCCTTATAGGCCTTTTAGCTCATCAACTGGCTAATAATCTTCAAGAAAGTGGAGGTTTTTTTTTTTTTTTTTTTAATAAATCTGTCACTGTTTTTAGCCGGGTAGGACTAAAGCAAAATTTTCCCTGTGAAACCTTTTACCCTGTTACATATTTAAACCCCGAAATCAAAATTGCTGATTAAATTGAAACAACTCCTACCAATTAATCCATACGCTTAGTGTTAGAGCCTTATTCCAATTAGATTATCTTCCTCTACCTTGCAGGGAGGTGAATGGACGTGAGCGAATTCAGATGAGTTAATTTTTTTTATTTGGGCCCTCGTATGGGTAAGGGCTCTTGGGTATGTAAATTATGCTTAATCCATGTCTACCTGGACATCAGGGTATTTGTTGGAATCAATGGACGCTTGAGTTCATGCACTTAAATAGAAAAGGTAACATTTTATTTACGGGGAATGCTACTCTCATTTTACATGAGAGTAGCTCTCTCATGTTACAGAGAGAAATCATGTGGGACCTATCATTAAAAGATAAAAAAAAGAAAAGAAAAAAAGTGGATGGAATTTTCGATATGAGACAATATGAGATAACTACCTCATGTAAAATAAGAGTGGTATTTCCCTTTATTTATTAGTGACAAGAGTGGGGTCTGACTCACTTAATAAATTTTTTATTAGTAGTAACGTTAACTTCTTAACATATCATCTTAAAATATCAATGCAAGCACTAAGCACTTTCTTGAAACCAACCATATACCGATATAATTTTTAATATATTCAAAAACGCTCTAATACAAAAAAAAAAAAAAAAAAAAAAAAGTTCTAATGAACACGAATTTACATTTGGACCAAGTGGTGGTGGTTCCTCGGGAAAGAACCGAACCGACCAAGTATCAGAAGGTTGCAGTCTACCACCACATCTGAGGCTTATATCCATATTGAAAATCATGCAACACAACACTATTGTATTTAAAGGTAAATAGTAATCGACTAAACTGATAAGATAAACGACAAATATAAAATGGTCTTTTTTTCATTTGGAAAAAATATATATTTTCAATGGTATAAGTCATCTACAAGTCGTAGTTGTGACATTTCTTAATTAGAATGGAACAACATTTCTTTTCCTTGAACTTTTTTTTAGAATTCCATAATAAATTATATAGTTTTCATTTACAGTATTAGGGTCATCGTGCTAATAGTTCATAAATCAGAACTTTATAAGTTTCTCACCAAAATCTCCTAAGAATAACTTTAAATCAATTTTTTAATTTAAATTTATAAATCTTGAAATACACAATAAATTTGCATGCTTAAATTGATTTTGTAAAAGTGCCAAGAAACCATTCAAATTTTGACTAATCACTCTTCCTCATCACCAGACTCTTAATTTACTTATGAACAAGTTTTACAGTCATGGTATTCAGTAATATTGTGTAAGTATAAAATAAAACTTTTCTCACTTTGTAAGAGACCACGATTATTTTGGAAACATAAGAAAACCATAGTTCTGTAGGCCATCAGACACAAATACTTGCAATTATAATTGTACATTCATATAAGCTAGGTTACTATCATTTAAAAATACAGCTCAGCATTATGATTTAATCCTCTATCTCTATATTTGTTTAACCGAAACACCTTTTTAACATTCTATATCAAATAAATATTATTTTTTATGAAATTACTTTACAAATATTGAAAACAGTACCTAATTTAATTATTCCCTACTTAAACAATATTTACTCTTTGACGAATAATTCTAGATATGTTTAGACGTGTTACTTGTTGTTATCATTTTAACTTTGTTCATTTTGTAATTATTAAGATTCATCATAACTCTTTCATCTTTATGTACCTTCTCATTATCTGCGGGAATTTCATAACCATATTTCCACTCCTTTTATTCACATAACTCTTTCATTCACAGTTTTTTTTTTCTTTTTCAATCCGATTGATCAACAAGTATACTATCATACTTCAATTCCATTATAGTTTCGCATTCGATCACCTACTGTTGTTCACCAACCTAAGTTTAAGTTTAAGAAGATGCTGTTAACAGTAAACTTCCTACAACCTCAAAAACCTTCTCCCCGAGCTTCAAGGTTTCAATTCACATTCTCCAACACAAGACAACTAAACACTTCTCACGTGAAGGAATCTTGCATACAGTAGCATTGTTAGTCAACAATCTACTTCATAGAGAGAGAACGGAAGGAAAAGTAAAGTACAGAAAATGAGGCAAATTCGAGGCTTTAGTACTTACACAGCGCAGTCTATCTCAAGGGACAAGTTCTGGGTAACTTTATTTGCGTTTACAAATTTTTTTTACAAATTTACTATGTTCTCTCAGGAGAAGATAGTGTGACTTGTATTCTCCCAAGGGAAGATAGTGTAGTTTGTAAACAAAAAAGTTTGTAAATATAATCTGCCCAGATTTCTATGCTATAGATAAAACTTCATGCATTTTGTATTCATTATTGCAAATTTTATGGAATCTACATTCCATCGTTGAGCACCTCATTATACAAATAATGGATTTAGAATATTAGTGCTAACCTTCCACTGAAAGCTAGAGGCTGATTAAATTCCCATCTCTCTTAATCTTATTTTCGTGGTGAAGCTTTCACATTTCAATATAATACATGGGAAAATTATTTGTGATTTTTAAAGGATATAAGTTGTGTCCTTTTAGTTTTTTTACTCTATATACTTCCGGCAGTATATAATTATAACATGAAAAGTTGTTTTTCTTTCTCCTTCCTCTGTCATAGTAACTGAGGTGAAAAATGAAAAAAAAAAAAAAATTCATGTTATAACTATGTACTGTCGTGAGTACATGAAATAAAAAATTAAAAAGACACAACTTATATTTTTTAAAAGGGCACACTAAACCCATAATATATATGTATGCGTGTGTACATTTGATAATAAAATCCACCAAACCTACATCATAACTAACATACGAATTTTGACGAGTCAAATATAAGAAAAAAATTGAGAAAATCAAACTCAACGATGAACAACGGATTTCAATAATTAACCTTGAGATCGCAGCATCTTTCTTTCGTAAGCAACTACATTCACTTTCCACAAACAAGTAAGTAATTCGAAGCAACCGTAGCCAACAAATTCACATTCAAGAGAGTAATATACTTGTATTCAACCTCAGTCCACAAAATCAATTCACTAATCCAACGTCTAAACAGCTGAATTAAATCAATCTGGACATGAAATGCAAGATGAAATTCATGAAAAGTAAGCATTCTCAGAGTTAGTAAAAAAATAAAATAAAAAATTCAGGGATTGGAAATATAAAACTGATTTACCTGTGAAATAATTGTACAAGAATGCAGCAGAAAGAGCACCTATTACTTCTATTCCCATGATTGCTTTATGGCATGGTGTGTCCAAAAGGAAAAGCTTAAGATATTTTTAGTGAGAGGAATGATATGGAAAGAGAGTAAACCAAACCATATAGAAGAATGGGTGAAGGAGAGGACTTGGACACTGGAGGGAGGGAGCAGCACTTCTTCTACGTACGGAAGACTCAAATGTTCAAGTTCAATGGATGAAATTGACAAGAAAAACGAGAGGGAGTTATTAATTTTTGATGAATTTGTTTGAAAAATAGAAAAGGAAAGAGATGACGAAAATTGAGTAGATTTGTTCAAAGAAAATATTATTATCTGTCAATGATCGATCATTGAGGATGGTTCATAATCTGCACCTAGACAACGACTCATGTTGCCTAGTGCAAATAAAGTCAACGGGGACCTATAAGGTAAATACAGTGACAAAAACTTGGTGGACTTTGATAGAGAAAAATTAAGATGCAGAAATATAACTCACAATGTTTGAAGAGGGAATACAAATTTCATAAACTGACTCAAACTTAATATAAACCAGAAACTAAAACTGAAAAACATAACATTAAGAGACACATTACACCCAAATAAACTCTAACTTAATGACTCATTATACTACCCAAAACTGACCCATTATGATACCGTTAAGACTCATCAAACAACTTTAGTGCAGCACATGGCCGTTACATCAAACTTAAAAGACCATTGAATTTTCTAACGGACAAAAAACAAAGAGACTCTAATATTTCCTCCCTTAAACTGATGTTCTTGAAAAATTCAGTTTACTCCAAATCCTTTGACTTTCTCCATGGAACATATGCCAAGTAATCCCCTGAGCTTTTGAAACGCAACATATTTGAGAGGCTTTGTAAACAAATCAGCAACTTGATCCTCACTTCTACAAAAAATAAGATCAATTATACCAGCCTTTGTAAGATCCCTTAAGAAATGATACTTCACATCTATATGCTTGCTTCTCCCATGTAAAATTGGATTCTTTGACAATTTAATTGCAGAATTATTGTCACAATAAATTAAAGTTGCTCCTTCTTGCTTGAAGTGAAGTTCTTCAAGAATTCTGCCAAATGGCTTGGCATGCACAAGCTGTAGCAGCAACAAATTCAGCTTCTGTGCTTGACAAAGTGACAATTGGTTGCTTCTTCGATGCCCAAGAAATAGCACTTGTACCAATCATATATTTCACAAACACCATTTTTAATAGTGATCACATAACCCTTTTCTTGTAATTGGCCAGCACTCAATAAATTACTTTTCAAATCAGGAACATACAATACATTAGATATTGTTTCCACAAAACCATTCTTGGTTTTTATTTTAATGTCACCTTTTCCCCATTACTTTCACAGTAGAATGATCACCAAAACTCACAGTAGATTGAAAATTTTCATTCAGATGAGAGAAAGAAGACTTACTACCACTCATGTGGTTGCTACAGCCAGTATCCACATACCAAACATCTGGCTCAATTTGCTTTTCATCTTTAGCAACCATCAATAAGGTTTCACCTTCCTCCTTTTCTGCAAAGTTTGAACTTTCTCCTTTTTCTTTGCTATTTGGCAGCTTAGTATAACATTCAGATTGATAATGACCAAATTTATGACACCTGAAACATTCTACCTTGGATTTATCAGGGGCTCCTCCTCTACCTCTGCCTTGAAATTGATCATTATTGGCTCTGAAATTAGTGGACCTGCCTCTGCCTCTGCCTCTGTCTCTACCTCTGCCTCTACCCCTTCCTTGAAAATTGTTGGAACGAGTATCGGTAGAAGCCTTTAATGCTTGCTCATCTGTGTCTTCCTGTTTGAACTTCTGTTCATGCACCACCAATGAGCTCTGCAATTCATCAAGTGACAAATCATCTATATCTTTAGATTCTTCTATAGCACAAACAACAAAGTTAAATTTTGCTGTTAATGATCGAAGAATTTTTTCTATGACAGTTATTTCTTCTGTCCTGCCTCCATGAATTCGCATTTTATTGACAATGGTCATCACGCGAGAGAAATAATCTGCAATTGATTCTCCCGACTTCATTCGAAGTGTTTCGAATTCCGAGCGTAAAGCTTGAAGCTGCTGCCTCTTTGCTCTTGCAGAGCCTTGATACTTCTTTTTCATGGAGTCCCAAATATCCTTGGAAGTTTCTTTGGAAAGAATGGTTTCCAAGATAGAACGGTCAATGGCCTGGAAGAGATAATTCTTCGCCTTCAAATCCTTCAACTTTACTGCTTCATGAGCTGCTCGTTGTGCTGCTGTCAACTGAGCTCCTTCTGCTAGTGCTGGTTCAACAACACCATTGGTAACTACATCCCAATATTCCTTGGATCGAAGGAAATTCTCCATCAACCGTCACCACCATGGTAGGCCATTATCCTACCATCGAAAGTTGATAGGGCAGAAATTTGAATGATGCGTCGCCGACACAAAGGCGGTGCGATCCGACGAGTTATCATGAATCAGGAAAAAAATCGTGTGTACTCATTTTTTTTCTCTCCCTTTCCTTTTCTATTTTGCAATTGTGTTTGTGATTGAATCTATGTTTATATCAATTAATACCATTTTTTTAAGTGCAACTTTGATTATATCCCCTCCCATTTTCAATATAATATATTTGGTGTAATGTTTATTTCAAGTTCATGTTTATGTTTACATTTGTAGCAATTTTTCATTATGACGAGATAAATGTTCACATTTGCTTAGATTTTATTAGGTTCCCGTCAAAATATTTTAATTTGTATTTTTTTTTTTTAAAAAAAAAAAACTCCATAAACTGATTCTTTTGTCATTACAAATATTAAGGCATTGTTCCCACGAACTCACAGATGCTAAGTGAAAGGCTAGTTAAAAAGAGAAATTTGTTACATTATATATATTAATATTCAATTTTAAGTATCCATAAACGAATGTAATGTGACTTATTATCCCTTAATACTAGAGTATAGCTTATCGAAAATTGGCTAGCCAAAACTTCACAGGTGTGTTACTGATGCACCTGCATTACAGATGTGATCCTGTACTACAATATTAGTTATTCTAGCAGCTGATAGATTGGATGTTACTTTCTTCCCTTAGCTTTGTTTTTCTTTCTCTTTTTCCTACTAATCTCTCATATACAAAAAATAGAAAAGAAATGCTTTCTATTTCTTAATTATATCATGCAACATATAATCGTTCTAGTTTCCCACATATAGAACTTGATTAATATAGAATCAAGACAGAATTTGGAGTTGAGCAGCTTGTTAAGAATTTCTCTCCTAAAACATGATGAACATTGATGAAAAGAATAAAAGCATGCAAGAATACATACACAGAGATATATATGTGTGTGTTGTGTGTGTCTATATATGTATTTCCTTTAAGCTTCTCTCCGACAGAACTGAAAATTTTAGGAATGAATAATAATAACATAGCATAAAATATATGTTTCACAAGTTATTGAACGGAATCAATTTATGTTGAGCAATTCCGATTTACATTACATTCCTTGAGCTTGAACTTAAGAAGCAATGCTCCTTTTCCTGTCCTATCATTAGCAACTTCATGATCTGCACTTTCAGCTTTTCCATATAAATCCTCACATGCTAGCTCAGATTTAGAAATATTTTCAAAAGTAGGCAATATTTGCTGGCATCCTTCTATGACAGTTTCAGTAAAAGAAAACTTGTTCATCCTATAGATCTCCTCTAAAGTACAGTGTCGTGCTACAGCTAAAATATCCACCATTGAGCGTTTCTTACATCTCCCTCTACGCCTTCTGCGTTTATCTTTTGTTACCTTGGATAATGCCAATGATGAACTATTTTTATGAACATTAACCGAACTAGGGAGGGTAAATGTATCTGCTGATTGAGATAAATTGACAGAAACGCCGCAGTTATGTTGATTTCCCTCTTCATGTGATGAAGGGCAGTCCCGGTTGTGGTTGGTGGTGACTTTGTATCTTTCACCATCAGAGAACAAGTCACACTCATTTTTTATATTTTGTGGATGCTCAATGAGATGATGTTCTTCAGTTTTGCAACAATCAACTTCTTTACTATCATTTCGCAAAAGCATTGAGTTAGAACAACCTTTGAGTGATTCAGCAAGTGAAGTTTGGCGTCCAAAGGGTGGCAACACATCCCTGAGACCACGGTTAAGACACATCTGCAAGTACTTTTCAGGAAATGGCCAACTATGAAGGATACTTCTGTGACGGGAAGCAAGAACATACTGTCTGCAACAAAACTCATAACCTGTCAGTAATTAAGATAATACTTTCAAAATTTTTATTTCATATCTACTTCTTCCTCTTCTGTTTATCAACAATTCAACTTATGCTAACCTGGAAACAATCCTTTACAAAATCTAAATACAACTAATAGATGTTCAAGTTTTATAATATTCACAAAAATAGCAAAGAAGAAAAGCTCAAGTTATGTTGGAAAGATTATAAATAGCCTACAACCAACAGGCCCTTCAAACCTTAGAAGTGCAAGATACTGCAATTGAAGAGACAAATCTAAATATAGAACATGCAATAATGGCATAATATTCTAAAAACCCTTAATATAATTTGAAATGCATAGGTGTATATTTATGGTATTTTTTTTTTTCAAGCATATTGGTACCTTATTGAGAAGGGTTTAATATCTGCTTCAGAGCCCGTTTGCTGTAGCAGAGATTGCGAAACCGTAGCTGGGTTTTGTTGCTGAGACATCATTTCCCACAAAGATTGAAACTTTACAAGTCGATCCCAAACTATACTCTATAAATTAATTATATAACCGAAAATAATATAGACCCAGTTTTTGCCTACAGCCCCTGGAACGCCAGACATAAGATGTGGAACAAAAACTCCATAAAATCACCAAGTCCAATACCCTAGAAAACAGAAAAACAAAATTAGAAATTTTGCAAGCACAAAATCTGCATGTGGGTACCCAAAAGATGCTTAATTTATCCGGAGAATATAAAGAAAAGGGAACAAAAGATGAAACTGTAGGTGAGTTCTTCAACGAAACAAACAACAGAGTCAGCTAAACCTTGAAAACTTCAGTATTAGAACTGAGTTAGCACTAGTGATGAAGGATAGATGGGTTGGCTTTGAAGGAAATGAGTTACGATTTCAACGTTGAAAACAAGGAAGAAGAAGTAGAAGAGAGAGAAACGAACCAAACCAACTGTGTGAGACTGAGAAGTGAGGAGGTTGTAGAAATTCTCACTTAAGTGATTGTATTTTCTTTCTTTTATTGGTGTTTTTTGTTTTCCCTTTGGTTTGGTTTGGTTTTGTTTTTGTTGACTTCATTTAACTATTCCTAACAGTGTGTAATTAAGGGAGGGTTATTTTTGTTAATTTTAATTAGGTTTGCCTCTGCTGCTATTATATATATAGACTATAGTTTTAATGGGACATGGAAAGCTCCTTAACCTCAAAACAGGGCATCCTCGTAAACTTGGCAAGTCCAAACCTAAGAGTACCCTCGTCACACATTCAACTAAATTGGGAAAAGTGAAGATTTGCAGAAAATGGATTGGGTTATAGATGTTAATAAAGTAGAACCAAATTAAGCAGAATGATAGCTTTATAAATATACATATGTATATGTATATTATAGTTCTTTATTTTTATTTTTTTTGTTGGGTGTTTTAATATATAACTCAACAAAAAACAAATTTCAATGGCAGATATCCAAACAATGGAAGAAGTGGTATCCAAATCCAAACAATGAAGCACAAGGATTCTCTGCAGGAGAAGGTACAATCAACTGAAATACAAGAGAGTCTCAGATTTACCTCTTTAAGGAACACACGCAAGCGTCACCAGCACGTGCTATCCTTGGTAGACTTGCAGCTTAATATGTAAACAGTATGGTGAAGAATATTAGTTATTTGTACTATAAAGTAAAATGTAGCTAGCATCATTTGGAATTCTCCATTGCTTTACTCATTTCTGATCAATAAACAAAATTTGACTTTCCGAAAAACATAACAGGCTACAGTAAATTTAACAAAGTTTAGTTTGGTATCAAGCTTTGCATCCAGTCCAGTTTAGTGGTAATTTATGCACCGTTCTGCAGTAAATTAAAGTGAAGAGAAATGCCACATGGACAAAGTTCAGATATAGAAATGACTATGAAAAAGTAGATATGTACTACATAATTGATGTCATCACCGTAATTAATTATTGATAACCTCAAATTAAAGCTTAAGCAACATCTGATTGCACGGACAGATGCAACATGTTGTAAGCTTTCCTTCTCTCAACTATGGCTTTCCTGTTTAGACACCAATGAGTACTGTTCAGGCTTCATACACTTTAAATTTGTGAAATGGCTTTTTTCTTTCTTTCTTTTTTTAAATTTGTGAAATAGATATATACCAGTGTTTCAATTAGAGCATAAGGGTACATGGGCTATACCCACATGTAAATTAGGTTGCATGCATGCGTTGAGAATGTAAAAGTTATTTCTTTCAGTAAAATGATGCCTAGGTTTCATGTGCTGTGGCACCTTCAAAAACATTGCCCAGGGGAGAAATCTGATAAGCATATCCATCACTGTACAATATATTTTTAAGTTATGGTTCCAAACATGGACACCAATACATACATATCAATTCTACTACTTCAGAGCATATTAGCAGGCAAGGCATTCCTGTTCGGATATCTAATTTACTTCTCAGATGGTGCTTTTTGTTTGAATGAGAAAACTGGTAATTAAGGAATGGCCGTATAAAATTAATTTGATGACTGCATGAGGAACGTCAATAGCACAATGCTGACAATGTGGTACATTTGAGGATTGGAGTTCAAGAACATAAAATACCAGAGAAACTCTCTCCCTAATTAAGCATATGTGCAGATAATTATAATATCATTGCTACAAAAACATTACATTAGCTTGTTTTAAGTTTATCATGCAGATCAGAAAGACAAACATTTAATTCAATAGCCGTTTCATGATTAACAATACTATTCTGAACCAGAATCTTAGTCTTCCTTACATTTTGCTTTTTTGATGCATCTGAAGATTACATTGTTTCTTAAGAAAACCGATAAAAGAAAAAAAAAAAAATCATCATGCAATAACTAAATGCAAATTATCTTTTTGGCAGGAGTCCTAGTGAATGAAATACTACATGCAATAATATAGAGATTACAGTAACTTCATCATAAAATTGCATTGCTTTATATTAAGAGAAAAGATTAATTACCAGAACGGATTATTATATTTATAAATATTATCTGCACTGCACTAGTACTTAATTAATTAGTAGTACGAGAAAAATAGCACAAGGGATAGGAGAGACATGGAAGCCTTTGAACCAAAGTAGAAAACACATTAAGCCTCATACTAAATTTGAAATCACTCCAAAGCTGTGGAGTTGAGGTTTTAATCAGAAAACCGAGAAGTAATTAATTTCAAAAATAAAATTAATTATCAGGAAAATATTATTTTCATTTTTAAGAATATATAAATAAATATAGTGCAATTTTTGTGCACAAATATTATTGTCCGTTTAATATTTGTGCAATTTTTGTGCACAAAACCGAGATCTCTGCACTTTTTTCTCTACTCTACTACTTCATTTTGTGCAATTTCCAGCTAAAGCTAGCTTTCCGTTTACTTATTTTGTATATGTATTGTTATTGAGCATTGTTTCTCTCTCACAAGTATCAATGAAAAAAGAAAAACAAAGGCTTTATAGTCATGGATAATTCTATCATAGTGTCAAATCAATGCAGAGTCTTCTTTTCGAGTGTCATGCATGTTGCTTATAAGTTCTAAAACTTCAGCAGCTAAGGATTAATTCTGTCCAAAGTTGGGTTTGGCACGATTAACTTGTTTCTTCAATCAAATTAATATAACAAATCTCATAAGGAGTGGGGGGCTAGCCTTAAGACTTTTCCATTTCTTAGCAAGCTAGCAGTTTCATCCAAAGCAAAATGCTTTATCTGCTCCTTCGATACTTGTAAATCTGTTCATGTAGTTCATTACTAATTTACTATTATGTTTTGTGTTAGAACTTTATATGTATGCCTATATAATAATGAACATAATAAGAAAGGTAAAAAGAGGGAAGTTAACAGAAGAAAGGTTAAAAAAATATGAGGATGCAAAGTATGAAACTGTAATATTGAAAGCAAAACAGTTGTAGAATGAATTAATTAAGGATAGTTTACAAAGAGAAACAATATATATATAAGAAGCTAGTGACTAGAGAACTCTAAATATATCAAACAATATAGGAGGCAGAATTACATGTTTTAGGGCAATAGATGTGTTAATCTTACTTTTCAAATGATGTGATGTGGGTTGTAAATTACTGTATGCAAGGGCAACCCCCAAAAATAATTTTTGATACATTGTTGAAACGTACAAAACAGTATAGACTTTTTTTTTTTATGTTTGTGATTTAATCAGTTCATAAATTGAATAACCAGGGTCTATAATTATTTCATCCTTATGTACAAATATGATTAGACCTTAATCTTCTTTTCGAATTGTTTCTCTCAAAAGCTAGAGGGAGGACCATTGAATTTGAGGAAGTTGGTAAGGAAGCAATAAAAGACTTGTGAATTTTTGATATTATGAGAAGCAAAGCCAGAGCCATGATATCTACTAAAGTTTCTACCCCTACCCAATCTCTTAAGCCAAGGCTAACATGAACTCTGCAACCCATGGTTGCTACTGAAACTACTCGAGGATAATTAATATTCACTACTCCAGCTTAGAATTTATTGAAGCAAGATATTTGAGACAGCAATACTAGCATATCTAATGGTTAATTTGTTCTTACTTACGAACGCATTATTGCATGTGATATTACAAAAACAAACAAGATGCAGCCCATTTATGTGCCTCCTCTTAGTCAAAGCTCACAGGGAATTATACACTCTAATTTCACCATGCTTATAATAAGAGAAATAATATGGCAATGATTTTAAACAATATTCTTTAAAAAGAATAATTACAGAAGGATATAATTCTTCCCAGAAGATTTAAATAAGTACAAGAGTGAGTATCACTGAATCCAACTACATCACAGTGCAAAACTCACAAGTCAAAATAGTTGTTATAAATTCATACAACATTGATTCAACTCATCCTTTAATCTATGGTGCTCTGTAAGAGCAATCTAGTCTTATTATCCTATCGCGAGAATAAAAAAAAAATGTGGTCTCTGGTGTAGGAGATCTAAGACACCTGTCTCTTCCTCTTCGGATGAATGCATGAGAAACTTTAGCACAATAAAAAAAATGGATGCACTTGTGAAAACTGACTTTTCGAAAATATCTTCAGTATTTTATTCAAAATTTAGTATATTATTTATTAAATTTTAAAAAAAAACTATTTAATTAAAAAAAAATTATTCACTTTTCTGTAATTAATATAATTTAAATTCTATTTTGTTTCGTATACCTAGTCCCGAAATATTGAAGACATATTCCTCTTCTTAATGTCACATCAACTTCACCCCTTCCCTTTCTTTGCACTATAAATATTTCTCATCTCTCACCTTTCTCTCAGTGTCTGTTTGGATATCTCTTTTTTATTTTATCTTATAAGCAGGAGTTAGACCAAATATATCTTTATAAAAGCTCTTATAATAAAAAGAATTATTTTTATTATGAAAAAAAAGCCAAATGTCAAAAACTTATAAGATGAGTTTTTTTTTTTAACTCTTATCAACTTTTCTTGAAATAAGATTTGATTTTTTAAGTTAAAAATTCTATATAATTACCAAATAATTTTTTTCTTTTTTTTTAAGCTCTATTTTTTAGTTTTAACTTAAAAAAGAAGAAGATCCAAACAGGTTTCCCAACTCTCTTTTAATACTCACCTCCCCTATAAATATTTTCTATAGTGGTGTTATTTATATTTTATTATTTTTTAATATTTAATGTATATTTTCTTAATTATTTATTATTATTATTATTATCATTATGTTGTTAATTAATGTTAGTTAGCGAATTAATATTTAAAGTTGAATTTCTTAGTATTTATATTATTTTTTAATTATTTTAATTAGCTATTTAGTAATTATCATTAATTGTTCTGTTTCATCGGTCTTAGTAAATTAACGATTTTTTTTGTATGTAACTAATGTAACATGGTCTTTTTCCTCATCGTCCGCTAAGTGTGAGGGATTCTCTTTGGATCATTCATTAGTAACAATTCATCCCAACGCTAAAACATGCATTTTATATTCTATAATTAAGTAAGGACTGATGTTTGTCTTTTCAAAAAATATAAAGTTATATATATTTTTTAAATTATGTTATTTTAAATGAGAGAAAAATATATAATAAAAAATATGGGAGGAGAAAGTGAAAGTTTTTTTTAATTTAAATTTTAAATAAAAAATACTAATTTTAACAAAAATAACCACCCTTTCCCCATTAAGTAATGACTTAATTATTTTATTAATAAGTTTTTAGGAGAAAGATATTGTAACAACTAAGTTGTGTTACTGCCATTAGAGGTGTTAAAAGCACCGTATTTACAATATCCTTCCCCAAGTTTTTATATTAACATTTTCATATGCCACTAGGTTATTGCCCTATCACATTGCAGTGGAGTTACTAAGCTTGATTTCATTTAGATTTGATAAATTCGGTAGATGATTTATTAGGAATAATATCACCGTATAAGAATGAAGTACAAGGTGGAAGAATGCGTCCCAAATATAATTGTTGAAAATTAAAGTGAGAGAAATAAAGTTTTTGTATTTGCTCGCAAATGTAGTAAAAAAAACACGTGTAACTCTTTAACATGATTCACCATTATCTTGGGAATGTCCGCCGTTAAGGGTGATTAACCATTTTTTTATTTATTGAGAGGACACGTGTCTAAACCAAAAACTGTTAATTCTAACGGTCAATGAGCCGCCAACACACTAACCTATAACCCGACCCTAGGATGGAGCTAGCTACTATGTTTGAAAATGAAAGATTTGTGTGAAATGTAATGTAATGTAACATGTTGTTATCTGTTGTGTCACTGAGTCTGATTGGTGGAATCAAATCTCACTCATTAGTCCAACGGCAAAACCTGCGAGCTTCTCTCTCTATCTCTTTCTCTATGATGGCCACTAACTCAGTCCGAGTTGCTGCGGCTCAGATGACTTCCATCAACGATCTCGCTGCCAATTTCGCCACCTGCTGCTCTCGTCTTGTTAAAGTCTTCTTTTTTCATCTTTAATCTTATCTGGGTTCCTTTTACTTTTCACAATTTCTATTTTTTTTTTTTTTCTTGTTCTAATTTGTGCTTTGTTTGCTGTCATCTGTATGTTCCCTTTTGATAATTTCTGTTTTTCTGTGTCATCCTCTGGTGCTTTTTATATTATTATACTGAACTACGAAGTGTTTTGTTTGTTGGGTTGGGTTGGGTTGGTCCTAATTTGTCTGCAAAGGAAGCAGCATCAGCTGGAGCAAAATTGCTTTGCTTTCCTGAAAACTTCTCTTTTATGGCTGCTAAGGATGGGGAGGGTGTTAGTATTGCACAACCTTTGGATGGACCAATTATGGACCAATACTGCTCTTTGGCAAGGTGATACTCCAACTTATCACCCTAGAATCTAGATTGTCATGTTTTTTTTAGATGACATTGCTCCTTGTCTTTTCATATTAATATTGTATTTTTTGCTAAATGCCAATCAAGATTTGTTTAGTCATGTGAGTAAGTTACATATTCTGATGCACTGCAGAGAGTCCAGCATTTGGTTGTCACTTGGAGGCTTTCAAGAAAAAGGATCTGATGATGAACATCTGTGTAATACCCACGTTGTGGTAGATGACACTGGCAATATTAGAAGCTCTTATAGAAAGATACACCTGTAAGATTATTAACTTTCACTCGGAGTGAATTCATTTCCATCAAGTATTCTTTTGGGGCAGTTTGATTAACCTACTTATCTTTCTAGGATCAAACTTCTTTGAATGTAGCCCGTGCATATTGTTGCAAGCTTGCAACACAACACAGTGTGGGCCTTAAAGTGATGTAAAAAACAAGACATTATGAACAAGAGATTAGAAGAGAACAGGGAGAAGCTAAGAAAGGGAAATTTTTCAGAGATACAAAAGAGAATGCAGGGGGGAAGTAGAAAGGGAAAACCATAATAACAATATCAATTGATCAAAGCTGAAAACCAAAATACAAAATAATCCTTAAAATGATAGACCCAGCTATGTCGATTATCACCTGAATACAAAATCCTAACATGACACCCAATTAGTCCTATTTTAACTGGAAACCCTAATTTAATCAACTAAAGTAATAATAAGTACCCTAATTACTATTAGTTTCAAATTACCTACAATCCTAACAACTATTCATATATATTATACTCAGTTTATTACAGAGCCTATTGATTCGGTTATGGACTCCTCGATATAACTTATGCTGTAATTTCCACCTGAAATGAGAAATTTACTGCTTTCTGTTTGTCTAACTATGGTTGTATAAGCAATTGATATTTTATTCACTTTATTTAATTTGAAGGTTTGATGTTGATGTTCCTGGTGGAAGGGTATATAAAGAAAGTAGGTTTACAGAAGCAGGTAGGATAATTACGCTTTACACTTCATTAAGACTAGATGAGTCTTTGTCTTGCTTTAGTCCTCATTGGAACTTGATTTTTGTAATGAAAAGAAAGAAACTATCAACCACTTCCCCCCGTCAATTAGTCAAAATATAAACTCCTTTATAAATGATATTTCAATATAACTTCATTTTATCCCGTTCATATATATAACCATTTTCTTACTAGAAGATCTGAGGATCAGATGAAGTTTTCACATGCCTGCATCCACTTAGAAACAGCAAGAACATAACAAGTGAAAGAATAAAGAAGATAATTAGTATTAATTCTGGTGATTCAGATGATTTTTCCAATGATTTACTTTTCCTTCCATTGCATGTGATGTTTTCTTCTTTCTCCTTCATTTCCTTGTACTAAAAATGCAGAGCTGCAGTTGTCCTTTTTTTTTTTGTGGGAGAAAGGAAGGGGGGGGGGGGATCTTGACAGAGAAGATAAGCACTTGGATATGATATGAAGGATAATGTTTTCATGTGAAAATCTTCTGTCTTGGTGGTGTTTTCAGGCAAGGATATTGTTGCAGTAGACAGTCCGATTGGGCGTCTGGGCCTCAGTGTTTGCTATGATTTGAGATTTCCAGAGGTTTACCAGTTGTTACGTTTCGAACATGGGGCACAGGTATTAAGTGAATATCTTTTCTGCTTAAAATAGGTTGTTTAGAATCTAAAATTTTCTTGTGTTTTACAATGTCCAGGTACTATTGGTGCCTTCAGCATTCACTAAAGTGACTGGTGAAGCACATTGGGAGATTCTTCTTCGTGCTCGTGCAATTGAGAGTCAATGCTACGTAAGAATTCATTTTTTCATTTAGTAATTTTGTCCTTCCCTTGTACCTTCCGCAAGCCTTCATCATCCCAACTGACGTGTGTTTAGAGTATGATCATCATTGGACATATTAAATTCTCTCACAAGCCCGTCTTCTGGTGTATTCTTGCTAATTATCAAATATGAATAATTTTCAAAATTATGGTTTTGTTTTTCCCTTTTTTATGTATTTGAATTGAATAGGACAAGTTACTAAGAAAGATATGTGAGGAACTACATTTCAACTATTTTCTTCTTTGCCACTTATTTTTAGCAATGGTTTGATGAATGAATTATCAGGTCATAGCTGCTGCACAAGGTGGCAAACATAACGATAAAAGAGAAAGCTATGGTGACACATTAATTATTGATCCATGGGGGACCATTGTTGGTCGATTACCAGGTAACAAACTTGATACTTACTTCCCCACGTTCATTGAGCTAATTTATTGAAATTGGAAGTCCACTGATGGAACCCCAAAAATACAACAACAAATAACTCTAAATGGAAAGACATTTTGTATTGACAAATGAAATTGGAGACTAGATCCTTATAATCCTACTTGCATAAATACAATAACAGTGCATAACAATGGCAGAAAATGAAACAGAGACACGGACTCTTGTGCTAATTATAGACTCCAACAATAGGACAATTAAGAGTAATTACTTGACAATGCAGATAAGATAAACCAAAGGCCTCAACTCACCCTCAAAGCCAAATACCAAGCCTCAAGAGATCCCTAGAGATCCTTTTCCCAATTCTCAATTCCCATTTCACATAATACATGCATACCTCACACTCCCACACTCCCCTCCTTATATCCTGTTATTTGAGAATATTATAGAATAACTCCCTACTAACTAACTAAATTATCTCAAGCCCATCACTAAATATCTCAGCCCATCATCCACTAACCATAATTTATTCAATTTCTTTCCTAGTTTTCTTTCTTCTTTGTTATTGCTTATGTAGTTTAAGGGACCTTTCACAACATAAAGGGTTTATGCATAACTGTTCCATAGAAATTTATCATTTATAAGTTATTGCAAACATGTGAGAAAATATGGGGGGATAGCAACTTTTGTATTTGGGATTTATGGATCTGACTTTATGAAAGTCAAAATAGTCTTCTTCCTATAAGATCAGATATATTAGCCGTGGCCTCATTTTTCACCCAAGGTAGAGAGGGAGCGAGTGTTATAGGAGAAGACATAATTTTGCTTGAATTCTATTTTATGTGCTGCTTTCATTGTCCTCCTTGGAGGTTTCAGCTGTTACGAGTTTATGCATTAAAATTTCATTTTGACAGCATAATACATCATTTTTTTTCCCCTTTTCTTTATGTTTCAAATAATGCATTGCTTGCTGTATTTTCTTGTACTACCAATTTTTCTTTTGTTTAAACCGTAGTTTACTGGTTTCCGTTGTTGGTTTTATTTTTCCTGTTTCAGATCGTTTGTCTACAGGCATTGCAGTAGCTGATATTGATTTATCATTGGTTGATTCTGTAAGAGAGAAGATGCCAATTGCTAAGGTAATTGTTGTAATATCTATTTATATCCGTAGGACTTGTACATTGAATTACTTGTATGATGCACACACTACTATAAACATATGGATTTAGTTAGGTTAGGTGGTCCTTTAAAGTTTAAACAGCTTTTTCAACTCCTATTTCCTAATGCATACATCTGTTCCTTTGGTTTCAGCAAAGGAAGCCAATTGACTTCTGGAATGCTGCATCTCTATAGTACTTACTCGGACCAGTCTAAAAGGGGTAGTCTATCTCCATATAGAAAAATAAGGGATTACCCTGAGGATGGGTCTACAATTATAATATTGGTCCATGCTTGCTGTATTTATTATAAGGATTAAGATTATTATACTTCATGGTAATAATTACTGTCTTTTATCTTCAAGTCACTGGTGCATGCTCCATGTTATGGGTGTTACAAGTTATACTGTAGGATCAAGTATTATTTTTTATAATTTTAGATTATACAACATGTAGTTTGTGGGAGTTTACTTTTGAGATTTTTTAAGAACCCTAGACATTAAGAAATATTAAAAAAAAAAATCCAGCGACAAAAAGTTTTCTTAATTTTTTTCGGATTAAGATAAGAAGATTAAGATGAAATTTTGAATGTTACCATTGAAACTCATTACAGTAAATTTTAATCAAAATTTTACTTGATAATAAAAAAGATTTTGTGGTTAAGACTTTCTGCAGTTTTCCGTAAATTGCAGCAGACCCGTGGGAGAATGACCAATGTAGCACGATTTTAAAAACAATTACCTCTGAAAACTATTTATTAAAAGGCTTTAATAGCTCTCCTGTTGCTGCTGTAGATCAGAAAATTTGCAGCAACACTTACTTCTATCAGGATCCGGTTCTGTATCTTAATTTTTTTTTTTTTTAATTTCAGGATCCGGTTCCATATCTTTATATAAATATATTTACTGCAAATTTTTTCATTAGCAGTGACAGCAGAAACGAGTAACCCTTATTAAAATGATGTAGGGGAATCACTTTTGATCAATTGAACCCAATAACTCAAAAATACGAAACGAGAAACCCTTATTAAAATGATGTAGGGGAATCACTTTTTGATCAATTGAACCCAATAACTCAAAAATACGACACGCATCATGTTTGTGGGGCGCTTAGATGGTTAAAAGCGGTTAAACTATACAACTTTAGTACATAATTTTCAAAATATGCCATATTTATAAATTTTTTAAATATGCGGTAGATCTGTTTCCAATTTTTTGCATGGTAGCCTCTATGTGATTGATCTTTATAATCATGTGACACATGGCGTTATTTTCCATATCTATTAAAATTCTTGTGAATTTAAAGAAAAAAATTATACTTACTACTATTTTAATCTTATTACTCGATTGGTTACCATTAGATTAATTTGAAATCAACGACAATTAAATTTTTTCATTTTGTAACTATTGATATCAAATTTATCTAACAGTAACCAATCAGATAATAAGAGTAGTAGAGCTAAAATGATAATAAGTGTAACCGCTCCCAAATTTAAAATAGAAGAGGCTTTTTGACCAATGTAAAATTAAATTAAATTTTTTTACTGTTTAATTATTTTGACAAACAATCTAATGTGTATCATGACAATGGGCATTCATGACTTCAAGTCGCATATCATTCTCATGTGCGATCTGTGTTTTCTCAAGGAATGAGAAAAAAAAATGAAACTTTGTGTTCTTTTACTTCTCTGTCCAACCTTACACTTGTATATTAAAAAAAAAAAAAAAAAAACTGTGAAGCAGATTATAAAAGAAGAGCAACATTTAAAAAAAAAGAAGGAGCCTCATTCACACATATAGGCAATGACTATGAACAAAGAAATAGACAACAAGCTTTATAGTAATCAACTAAGCAAAAATTCATGCATAGATTCGGGACTTCCAAGGAGATCAAAGGGTTTTTGGCCAAGGGAGTCTTTCAAGATTGTTATTTGACCTTCCTTAACAAGTATATCTTCATCAAGTGCCTCTATCTTCTTCTTCAAAGCGTTTACCTCTGAGTTCAACAACATATTCTGCTCATTAAATTTCTTCACTTCCTCCCACATAAGATCTCTCTCCTTTGACACTTTGTCCAATATTCCCTTTGCGATTGTTAATTCCCTAGTAGTCTGTTGCAGATCATTTTGAAGGCAGCTTATACTCTCATCTTTCTTCAATATCTGTGACGAACAATAAAACAATTTCAAATTTTTCCCCAGGGGCTGGGGAAACATGTTTAAGTAATTGCAATTGAAAAAACTACCAGAGCTAATTACCCATAAGACAGCTAATGACAACGCAATACCCAAAAATAAAGCATCCGTTAGCTGAATTTAATCAATGAATTTCAATAGTGGTGACCAACCTGAAGTTCTAGGTCCTTCAACTTGTGGGTTACACTTGAAAGGTTGTCCAATGTATTTTGCACCTCAGATCTAAGTATGTCATTTCCTCTTACTGCTGTAGCAAGTTCAGCTTGCATCTGCTCAACTTCGAGCTCTTTAGAGTACAGCTTCTCCTTTAATAAACTTGTTACCAAACATTCTGCTTTAAGCTCAGTTCTTATAATATCCTATACAAGTAACGACATCATGATCCATATGATAAGAATACAGAATTCAATAAACAGATGATTTTAAAAAGGTTTAAAATAAAATAAACACAATGGTCAAAGTAGAACAGAGGATTTACAATATGTATTCCTCTAAAACTACCATTAAAGGAAAACTTCCAGAAGGAACTCACCTCGGATGATTGTTCATTCAGTTTAGCTAATATATCAGCGTCTATACACTCTGACTGATATTTAGAAGTCAATGGATTTGACTTTTCTTTCAACAAAGAAGACATCATCTGCAAACTCCTTGTTAAACCCTCAGTGCCACTTTTAAGCCTCTGAATTTTAGTTTCAGATTCAACAATGAATTGCCCATCTAAACCATTTCCAATGACTTCTAGATCCAGCTGGATATTTTGCCGAGGATGGCCTCCTTTCCCTTTCATGAATTCCAGTAACTTTGAACACAAGTATGTGCTTTCATTTAGCATTGTTAGGCCTTGATTCTGTAAGCAGCAGATGCGGGCCCACAGTTCTTTATCTAGTTTATAAGTAGCAGCAACACATTCTTTCCCATCACCTTTCAACCGGTCTAACAGAATTATATTTTCATGGCGAAGAGAATCTGCCTCAAACCTGTAAGATTCCAGCTCCCTTCTCAAGGCCAATTCTACTCCTGTTAACCTCATTTGCTCCATTTGCATTTTTGCAATGTGCTTGTCAAAGCTCTCCATAGACTGGTTCTTATGAAGGTCCTCATTAAAGCAACCTCGTAATCCCGTTATTGTCTTCTCTTGCTCACTGCAAGTTCTTAATAATCTTGTTAGGGACTTCTGCAACTCTTTGCACTCCTTCTCCTTCTCTACAAAATTTCTTCTGATGCTGTCCCTATTTTCTTCTGCTATCTTGCATTTCTCTTGTAGTTCTAAGAGATTTTGCTGCAAATCCAGAATCTCCTCTTTCATTTTCTCTGTCTTTTCAGTCACTCCCTTGAGTTGTTGGTCAGTATACGTCATTGCACTTTTGCTTTCCATTTCCCTCTCACTAAAAGTGGAGACTTCCCTTTGAAGCGATACATTCTGCTCTGCAAGCTCTCTAACTCGCTCGCGAAGCCTTTGCTCTTCTAACTGGTACTTCTCAAGTTTAAATGACCAGTCACTTGACCTCCGGTCCAATTCCTTCTCCAATGCTGACTGCATCTCATTCTTTTCTTTCTCTAGTCTTTGAGTCCGAAACTCCACTTCTTCCTTCACACGTCTAAGTTCTTCCCTGGCGGATGTTCTGTCAGAAATTTGAGATCTTAGATGGGTTGAAACTTCCAAAGCCAAGCTTATTTTCTCCTCTACTAGGTTTCTGATTGTCTGAATCAGTGTTGGCACGTCATAACCACCATCAGGAAAAAAGCTTTGTCGTTCCAATTTCTTTGAAAGAAGAATAACTCTCTCTTCAGCTTCCTTTGATCTTCTCATTAATTCTGAATCAGCATCCCCTGCAGCTTCATCAGAGCTTAAACCCTCACAACTACCATTCATGTCATGATAACCATTTGTCATTCTGTATGGTTCATCCAAAAAATAACTTTTTGGCACAGCATCATCTAAATCAGAGTCATAGCGTCCATTCGCAGATCTAGCATAGATATCATGAATTGTGATTGGATTATCAACATCAAAATTCTTTGAACTTGTTTTAGAGATATCACAAGTTCGAGAAAGTCTCTCAATGACATTCTTTGCGAGACTCCTTGGAGATTCATGTCCAAACCCATTTTCTGTCCAATCTCGGGATGACAAACGGGTAACTTTAGCTTCTCTAAATGAATGAGTCCTTGGTTTATCTTTGACTCCATCAGTTGGTGAATTAGGTGCTGTATGCTGAATTTTTGGAGGAAGCTTTGTACCATAATTTCCATGTCTAGTATTATTTCTTTGTGAATTGTTCCTGGGTCTACTTTCCTCTGGCTGCTGCTCTCCGTCAATGTAACGATCAACAATCTTACTCGAGACGTTGCTAGAAGAAGTGGAAGAGTTACCGGATGGCTCATGATGAGATCTTGAAGAATTAGTAGACCCAGGTCTCTCGTATATGTGAGAATTTTGGATAGAAGACACTGCAAATTGTGTTGGCTTGTCCGGCTTTGGCTTCTCAAAGTCAAGAGCCTGACAACTGTCATATACACAAAGTTCAACCAGAAAAATATGGTCAAAATCAAACCAAAACAATGGAGAATAAACTTCAGTTCAGTAAAAAAATTGATTTAAAAATTGGGTTATCAGGTCTCACCGGGACAAATGCTCGAATTGATGGTATGGATCACTAGCAATGCTACTAGAAGGAGATCTATTGGGATCTTTGAACTGATAGGCACCTGATGACAATGACCTGCTCCTTCTAAGACCTGGATCACCACAAGAACTCTGGCTATCAGAAACTTGCTTTCGAGATTTGGAGAACAAGCCCTTGGGGCTCTGGAAATAATCCTCACTTTTACCATGAGCCTGATTATTCATTCCACTATCTGAAAAATTATCCCAGGACACTTGCTTATTTGTTGTTTTTGGTGGAGTCCCATTGTTGCTTCCGCTGCTAGATGCAGAAGATTTGAAAAAGAATAGTTTCTTCATGCGTTAAACCTTCTCTATAATTGCTACCTCAAGTTCATCAAAGCGACCAGCTTTCCGAGGATTTTAAGGACCAAGGTTGATAACAACTCCAATGTCACCAAACCTATCACAGAAAAGCAAAATATAAAACCAAACAAGGGCAACCAAGACTATACAAACCAGTGTTGCAAACCAACGATTGGAAAAAGAAAATAAAACAGAAGAGAGAAGAAAACGCAGAAGCAGAAACACGTGAGACCAAAGTTAAGCATTGATTATTTGATTTCAATAACGTTCACTAGTTCAAAATAAAAATTAAACGAATAATTTCAAAGGACAGATAACAAATATAATAAGGCTTTAATTTAATATTCCTCTAAAGAATTCATCCAACCAACAGCCAAAGCAGCTGCAGTGAACGAAAAGACCATACTATCCCCACCTTCAACAGCTGCAGCTAAAACCCTGTTCCTAAGATGATGATAAACATGCTTTGATTAACTCCATCAGCTAAGCTTGCTTACTCTATCGAAAGGGAAAATGACACCAGATAAGGAGAAAGGATGAAAGGAGTTACAGAATTCGATAAGATCGAAGATTTCATTAAAATTCTGAAAGACCCATTTTCCAATTCCGGACAATTACAACAGCAGAGACCAATAAATTAATATCTATGACCTCCTTTGTTATAAAATTAAGAAAGAAAACAAGTTATGGAAGACCTTGAGCCTAAAATCATTTCTAATTTATTAACAAGAAATTGGGGTAGCTGAAGAAGGAAGCACAACAGCCAATATTACATAACCCTAAGTTTCAAGGGAAGAAAAAAAAAAAAAAAAAAAAAAACTGGAACTCAAGAAACAGGTTTGCGTTCTCTTTGAGGACTGAGTGAACTAATCGGGGAGAAAGTAAAAAAAAAAAAAAAAAAAAGTCTAACTTGTCCAGTTCAATTTTCTCTCTTCTAATTTTCCTTTCTCAACTTTCCTAGTTAACAAACAGAACAAAAATGAAAATCATCAAAGAAAAATAACCATGAGAAAAGAAGTAAAAGATAAAGAAAGCGTGACTCACAAACTTCCAAACTGTCCAAAAATCCACTTTCACCACTGACTGCGCTTTGTACCAGAAGAAGAACAAGAAAGCAAAACCATCAAAATCAAATCCAAATTTTAACTAAAAAAATTAATTAATTATTAATAGAAAAATCAAATTCGAATTAAAGAAACCACAGTTCAAAATCATTTTTGAATGGAGCAACTGAAACTATTTTCCGTTACAATTTCTTCGAAAATTCAAAAAAAAAAAAAAAAAAAAAACGGAATTCAAATAAGATAGTTAATGACATACCATAAAGGGAGAGAGATTTTGAGAAAGTAATTCAAAAGGAAACAAGATTTGAACAGCGAAACAATCTCAACGTTCGATTCGCTCTCATTGCTTAAGGAAAAGAAGCAAGGCACACGCTCCGGTGGTTTTATGTGGGAATTATGGCAAAATGAAAAGGGCAAAATAGTCAACGAATAAAAATTTAAAAGCTCTGCATGCCGCGCGGAAAATGCGGTGCAGGAGCGGAACTTGGATCAGGTGCATTGCTGCTTAACAATGTAAACTAATCAGTGTCTTACCCTCGGTGGGTCCCACAACTACTATATTGTGTTGAAATTAAAAAGTCAGTTTTTATATTTACACTACCGGAGGTTATAGTTATTATTTATTATCTCTTATTATCGAATCTTAATCGTTAATTTTTGTTAATTTAATAGTTATAATTTATTAAAAATTAAGAATTAATTAATAAATTATAACGGTTAGATTCGTAAAAATTAATGATGAAAATTTAGTAGAAATAGATAGGGAGTAGTGTTAAAGTGTATTCTATGGATAAAATATATAAAAGTGTACAGTATAAACCAATACTTTTTGGGGCCAGCTTTTATATTTTAAACCGACATTAATCTCTCATTAAAATCTAATATCAAACTATTTAACTATATTTAATAAAAATAAAACATTTATACAATTGTTTATTCTGCTCATGTGATATTTTCGTATTACTGAAATAATTTTATTAAGATGAAAATTACTTGAGATTAAATATTTTTAATAATATAAACACATGACTAGACTAGTTCCTTGTTTTTTAATTAAATGATGACGAAACTTTGTTAATGTAGTAATAAATTCATAATAGGGAGGAAAATTATTAACCTTATAAATGATCACTCTGATATCACGGTAGACGAATAAATAATTAATGTGATGTTAAAATGTATTTTTAAAAGTTTAACACCTTTAATGAAAAAATATTCTCATTTTTCTTTAAGCTCTTACAAAATTTAATAAAAAAATTTTTTGGCGATTTGTTACTCTTTTCTCTTAATAATTTTGTACTAATTAAGCAAAAAAAAAAAAAAACATAAGCAGTCACGAGAACAAAAGGAAAAAGTAAAGGGACCAAAAAAGAATGGTAACGTGAAGAAAACGAGCACCTATTAAAAGACAGTGGTTTAAACTTTACATGTCAGTATGTAACTACTCAATTATGATCATGAAAATGAAGATGTGACTAGCCATTGGAACATGAGCGAAAATGACGTTTTATATACATCAACCATATATTAATATCTCATTAAAAAAAATCAGATTACGATTAACTCGGTTTTACTTTTGAAAGAAAAAATAGGGCTAAAGCACCATTTTAAAATTTTTGGACAAAAGAATTACTCGGTTAAAGCTGATTGCATAAGTTTTTTCAAAGTAATGCAGTCAAACATGTCACCTATGCTGACGGGACTAGTCCCGTCACTGATACTGACGGGACTCGTGCCACGTCAGCGCCACGTAAGCAGTCCAATTACCGTAAATTTTCGGAAGACCATAACTTGTGACTCGGGTATCCAAATCAGATGATTTTTTTTTTGATTTCACATAACTTTTCAAGATCTACGCAATGACACCTCATTTGATATATTTTATATCTCACAAACATAGTCTTATGGATAAACACTCTTGTGATTGTGATACAATTGTTACAAAATCAAACTATGTTTGTGGGAGATAAAATATGTCAAACGAGGTATCATTGCGTAGATCTCGAAAAGTTATGTGAAATCAACAAAAAAATCATCTGATTTGGATACCCGAGTCACAAGTTATGGTCTTCCGAAGATTTACGGTAATTGGATTGCCTACGTGGCGCTGACGTGGCACGAGTCTCGTCAGTATTAGTGACGGGACTAGTCCCGTCAGCATAGGTGACATGTTTGACTGCATTACTTTGGAAAAATTTATCCAATCAACTTTAACCGGACAATTCTTTTGTCCAAAAACTTCAAAATAGTGCTTTTTCCGGAAAAATAAAAACCAAAAAATGAAAAAATATTTTGCAGAAATCAAGGTGATAACCACACCACACCTTTGTTAGTTTAGTCATGATTGTGGACATTATGCAACCAGCTGCAAGACGAATGATTTTTTTCCTCTAATTATTATTAAGATAATAAAGCTTACCAAATGGAAAAGGTGATGATGCCATAATGATGATGTGTCGTAAAAGAGAAACACCACTGGCGAAAGAGTGGATGGCATTGCATACTTAAATTTGTGTTCTAATTTGCGAACTAACCCAACGAGATTGAAATAAATCAAATAACCATGCACTTTGGTTTGGTTATTCGTATTAAATTGATCAAAATTACAATATAGTTATTGGATTTTATGTTTATTATTTTACATAACATAACTTCACTTTTCTACACACACATTAAAGAGGTAGGGTCCACATGTTTTTCTTTTTCTTTCATCATTCCACTTTCCCTCTCTTCATCATTGTGTGAGTTGGAAACTACTCTTATATTATGTCACATAACATTAATAAAACCCATAGTTATTTAGTTGTCATACTCATACACAACGATTACTCATTATTTTATTTTTTAAAAATAACTTCTTTATATTCGTCTTTACATTATTTTTCCCTTATATTAATCTTTATTGTTAATAAACTCATTTAGTCAAATTTTCCCATACTCAAAATAATAAAAAGAATTGTTAAGATCGTCAGTGAATTCTATTCGATACAATTTGATGGTTTTTTTTTTTTTTTTTTAAGTGTTGAGTCGTCAAGTCCACCTTTTTTTTTCAAAGAATTAATTTGATTTAGAAATAAATCAATGAAATTTAAGAAATTTGATCAAGTTGATTTTGAATTAATGATAAATGAATTAGGAAATTAATTCATTTGTTATTAATTCTTCAAATAAAAAAATAATAATATATAGTTAGACGATAAAGAAATAAGTTAAATTTCAAGTCAATGGGTTTGGCCTAATTTAATTTAACTTTAGGCCAATCTTTAGATCCTCCCATTTTTATATCTCTTTCCAAAACTAGTCCAAAGGCGAGAATGTCGACCCATGATCTATAATGTATTAAGTTCCACCCCAACCCAACCATCAAGAAGATGGATTTGAATGTACATGGTCATTTATTCTGCGTCCAATATGTATGTCCAAAATCGAAGTATCTCTTCGGTACACAAATTAATTATATGGTGAGTAGTAGCGTAATTGATTTTAAGAGAGATGAAAATTTATTGATTTTCTGTTGAGTGTAAATTATTCTAGGTGCAAAACCCACCAAATTCTTAGAAACGTATTTATATTTACACTTTTAATGTTATTATATTCTACCATTCAAACCAAATCAATTCTTTTAAACTTACTTTTAAAATATCATTTCCGAACAAAATTAATTAATTCCAAATAATTTCTTTCAAGGTTGATTATACCAAAATCTAAAACCAACTAAGTCTAAATACCAGGAAAAAAAAAACCAAGTCTATCTAATTGCTAAATCAAAAAAAAAAATTTATGCTGCCCACCTATAATGATAACCATTGTTTTGAAAATTTATACGTTTCTCTGGTCATTTCAGGCTATCTACCATATTCAACTCTTACTCTCTTTTTTTTTTTAATATTCCAATTAATTTATTGTTTCGCAACTAATCCGATTCGGGACGGGTGCAGGATTAAGGTTTTAAACCCCTCCCAAAAGTGGTACTGGAGAAATTCAAACACATGCTCTTACCCCACCTGTTTAGCTTCCATGCGCTAACTGAGCTATCACTATTTGGTATTGAACTCTTACTTTGTTTCGTGGTTTATGTATGGCTCTGGATAGTAACATGAGATATGTGGTTACGAGTTTATTAATCTTATTATTTTCTAAATTATTGGTTTATTTTAATTTAGTGGATAGATTCTAGATAGTTAATACGTAAGTGCTAGTAGATAGTTTATTTTAGTTCAATATAATTAGTTGTTTTAATGGATAGTTATTATTTTCAAATTGTACTTTGTCTAATTAAATTCTCATCATATGGAATAAGAAATCATCCAACAAATTATTTGGAAAAACACTTTGTTCAAGAGATCAAATTTTCTCAATAAAGTCACCCTTCTATGTATGTAACAGCTTAGTATCAGAGCCAAGATACTAGGCATGGAGAAACGATTCGAAAAACTACAAGATACAGTTGAGGCACTCTCCATTCAGTTGAAGGAGATATTCACGAAACTCTTCAATCATTTAGATGCTATAGCACCAAACCCTAAACTCTCTCATTTCTATTGTTCTCTTTTTATTCTTGAGGCTTCTACACCCAAACATTTTTTTCTTTCTCTTTCCACACATAAAGCAATTTCCATTAACTCTACCATTGCTATTAAAAGTTTGAACGCAGTCAAAATGTTTCAATCAAACAAGGCCCCCAACCAAGAACTTGACTTTTTGGTTTAGATATGAGATATCTAATGAAAGCATGCATCACCTCTAACAAATTTTGAGAATAGGAAAGGAAGAATCCTGGCTAAAAGATATTTTTCAATCAATAGCAATGGAAAGGCAGATATAGATATTGAAGATGATTCAATCACTTGATCTTACTATTGAGAACAAGAACAATTTTTAGAGGGAGAGAATGTTACGAGTTTATTAATTTTATTATTTTGTGATTCTCTAAATTGTTGGCTTATTTTAATTTAGTGTATAGAATCGGGTAGTTACTACATAAGTGCTACCAGTGGGTAGTTTATTTTAGTTCAATATATTTAGTTGTTATAGTGAATAATTATTATTTTCAGATTGTACTTTATGTATTTAAACTCTCGTTACATGAAATAAGAAATCATCAAATAAATTATTTGAAAATCACTTTTCGTACAAGAGTTTAAGCTTCTCGATAAAGCTACACATATCTTATTTGTCAAATTGACTTAGAGTGTGTTTGGACTGCATTCTAAAAAAATTACTTTTATATCCTATTTATTTTAAAAGTATTTTTTTATAAAAGTTAAAACTATTTAAATTTTAAAAAAAATTATTTTTTGAAAAAAAAAAATTTGACTTTGACTTTTACTTTTTTGAGAAGCTAAAATTTTTAGCTTCTGAAAAAGTAAGTTTTTAACTTTTTTTATGACTTCTGCTTTTTTTAAAAGTAGCATCCAAATGCGCTTTAAAATAAAAGTGCTTTTTTTTTGAGAAAAAAAGTAACTTCTGACGGAAAAAAAAATCATCCAAACAGAATCTTAATGGGTGCTATTGACCCTATCACAAAGGATGTTCATTTTATGTACCGAAAAGAATGTTTACCAATTTCACATGCACACTTGTAATATCAATGACATTAAAATGCTTATATTTATTGAGTGAGAAGTGAGGGCTGAGACTGTGTTACTGGGAAGCAATGTTGCCTTTGAAAAAAAAAAAAAAACTCTGAGAAGATTTTTTTTTTTTTTCAAAAAGTATAAAATATTTCTTTATCAAAATGAGAGAGTTTACAAGATGCCCGTTGTGTGGAACCTGATGTTGCTGCCATATGTACAGGTTCGCGTTGCGTGTTGCTTCATCTCAGTATTACTTGTTGTTTTGAAATTCACTTTGACGTTATAGTTTGTGGTATGTGTGATTGTTGAATTTCCTTTGCAAGCAATAACAAAGACATTGTATGTAAAATTATACGTTTTTAGTTTGTGGGAATTCGTTGGCCTCTTTTAATGCCATAATGGGAATAACAAAATGTTAGATTGTAACTGTCATTGCTACATTGTAGTTTTTATTTTGAGAAGTCATGGAATTTACTGGATAATATTAAATATTGTAACTTCATTTTGACCATTATCTCTTATTAATGGTTTTAAGAAATTGATATTTTTTAATTTTATTTCGTTAACATTCAGGAAAGGATATTTATGTAAACTGCAATTATAGTGTTTGCTCACATGATAATGAGCCTGTCCATTTCTCTATGAATCATCATAATAATAATAATTCATTCATGCATAAATGCAATTTGCAATTGTGGCTGCCAAGGTGTGCTTGGATGGGAGGTGCTAGAATAAATTATTTTTTTTGGAAATTGATTTTGTTTAAAAAAAAAAAAATTATACTTTAGTTACTATATTTGGTTCAGAGTTGGATAGTTTAAAAAATTACAAGAACCAGTTAAACCAAGCCGATCAAATTTTGTCGATATGAATATTCAAGAATAAATTTTAATAATTTTTTTGTAAATTATTTAAATATGTGATTATTTTAAGGATTGTTAATTTATTTATGGAAAATGAAACTAAAAATATGATATTATCATGTTTGTTATATTTATTTTTTAAAAAATTCACCAACATTTGATTCCTCAGGAAATAACAAAATTATGTTTTAATTGATTTTTATTTGGAGAAAAGAATTATCATGTTATAGGAGATTTCTTTCTCCTATTAGTGATACATCGAAATGTGTGCAATAATATTTTTTATTTTTATTTTTTAATAGGAGGTGAGACTCATCACATCTTGTGTCTATAATAGGAGAAAGTTTTATTCTACAACATGAAAAAAGAGGAATCCTTTTTATTTTCACGATGAGCCACTATGAATATGTTGCTTTTTAATGACATGAGAATGGGAATTGCATTTTCAGAGCTATTTTTCTTATCACATTTTCTCCTATTATTTAATTTTTAAATACTTTTTTGAAAACATTAATGTTAACAAAGTATGTTCTTAAACTATAATAATATATCTTGAAAGAGATTCGTCATAAGTATTTTACACTCAGCATATTAATATTTAATAAATATATAAAAATAAATAAAATTTATATTAATAAGAATAATAAAGAATTAAACTATAAATCTTTATAAATTAAATAAAAGTATATTCTATTGAAAGCAATAATATTTTTGTTATTTTATCTAAACTAATATTATTTTTATTTTTTAATTCTCTTTGTTTTTTATATTCAACTTTTTGAAATAATTTCATATATCTTATCTATAATAATATTTTCTTGTTTATTTTATGGGTTCGCTTATTCTGCAATGACCGTAGATAAGTTATCTGCACTAAGCCCAATACGATGTCGTTTTGAGGCAGAAATCATGCTATTTTTTTTAATTTTAATTTATTTCAGAATTATAATAGTCTTTATATTTATAATTTTTTAAGATTTCAATACCAAAACGACGTCGTTTGAGAATAAATGCAGATAACTTATCTGCAATAACTGCAAAAATGTTGCAGAAACATTTTTCCCTTATTTTATACCTTTTTTATATTGTACCAAAATTGATCATGTATCACTTTTTTTATAATTTTAAATATTTTTTTCTTAAATATTAATTATTTCAAATCAATAAATTTAAATTTTACCTTATTCTGCAGAAAATGTTAGTAACACACTTTCTTTAATACATTCATCTTGGTCCTATTATACTACATTCTTTTTTTAAAGAAATATAAAATGTTTATAATTTCAATTATTAACTTAAAGATGTTATATTTATAACCTGTTTTCAATTTAAATTAATAATTATAATTTATTGGATCACACTAATTAATTAATTAATAAATTTCAATAATAAAGATTTAATAATAAGATATTGTAAATATAACTTTTTTTTCAATTAATTTTTAATATTTTAATTTAATTTTTTGTTCGAGATTGTATCGAATTGTACACCCGGAACACACAACTAATTTGTTTTCCCGCAACTCACTTGAATACGGAGGTTGGAGAATTTAAGAAGTGAGTTGGGGAAACAAGAAACAAAGCTCTCTGCTTCTCAAAGTCTATTGCCCTTCGCTACACTTGTTTGGGAAGTAATTTTTCCCAATCCTAATTCGTAAACCCTAACGGCCAAAGCAGTAGTTGGAAGCTGTAAAATCGATTGCAGACAAGTTTGATTTGAAGTAAAAGAGGTGAAATTGGAGTTTTAGGAAAGGAAAAAATAAAAATAAAAATGGCGTATGGTGGTGGTGGTGGTGCAGGTTCTGTGGGTGGTTCGAGTTTGGCATCAGCAATGAAGTTGGTGAAATTGGAGAGAGAAAGCGAGCTGAGAATAGAAGTGGGTAACGACGCACCTCTTCGCCTTCGACTCCTTAACGGCACCGCCGAGATTTTTGGCACTGAGCTTCCACCTCAAATCTGGCTCAATTTTCCTCCCAGGCTCAAGTTTGCTGTAACTTCTTTTTTCTCCCTATTTCTTTGCAATTGTAATTGTAGCCATTAATTAACTTATGTAGCATTGTGAAAGTTGAAACCTTGTTCTAGTATCACTTTTCTTTTTATTTATCAATATACCCCTTGGGGTGTTACTGTTAATGCTTTGTTAATACAGTTCCCTTCTGGTTGTTTCATGTTAGAAACTTAGAATGCTCATAAACATTAAGGGAAATATAATATTGCTTGTTTCAGGTCTTTACTTGGTATGGTGCAACAATTGAAATGGATGGTGCTACTGAAACTGATTATACTGCAGATGAGGTAAAGTAGTCTAAGCCTCTTACATGTATCCTTTCTGTGAAACTTATTTTAACTTGGTGAAGAAAGGCAAAAAGAAAAAAGACTGATTAAAAAAAATGACTGATGGAGGAGATTGCAACATTTTGATTGCAGACACCAATGGTTAGTTATGTAAATGTTCATGCTGTACTAGAAGGAAGAAGAAGTCGCGCTAAAGCTTCGCCATCGGATGATTCTGAATCTTCTCAGGTGATTTTTTTATTTTTGGTGTCTTAAGATTAGCAGATTGGATGGTTGATATTATACTGTCAATGCATCTTTCTGAACTGTGGAAAATAATATATATATTTTTTAAAAAAGAACTTACGTTTTTATCATAGTTTGCCATATTTGGCCTCTAGAAACCAAAATTGTTCTTTCTTTCATGAGTAAACTGTAAATCTTGTAGTATGTGAATTTAACAGACTTGGTTGGTCAGGGCCCTAGGGTGATTGTTGTAGGACCTACAGATTCTGGAAAGAGTACCTTGTCAAGGATGCTTCTTAGTTGGGCAGCTAAACAAGGTTGGAAGCCTACCTTTGTTGACTTGGATATTGGCCAAGGATCTATAACAATTCCTGGATGCATTGCTGCAACTCCAATTGAAATGCCCATCGATTCTGTGGAAGGAATCCCTCTTGAAATGCCTCTTGTTTACTTTTATGGGCACACAACTCCAAGGTAATTAGTTCTGTAACTTTTGTCATTTGTCAATTATAAATTGGCAAAACAATATAAACTTTCATTAGTTTAAAGTTTTAAGAGTCATGGACAGCACATGAAGGAAATGAAAATTCAATCACCGAACATATTATTTGTTTTTACAGTAATAATATAGAATTGTATAAAGTACTTGTCAAGGAGCTTGCGGGGATGCTGGAAAGGCAATTTGCTGGAAATGCTGAATCTCGAGCTGCAGGCATGGTGATAAATACTATGGGATGGATAGAGGGAGTTGGCTATGATGTAATTGACCTTTGAGCTTTACCTCATTATTAAAATCATGATTGTAGTGGCCTCTCTCCTCTCTCTCACACTCATTCTTTTTATGGGGTGTTCTCTTGCAGTTGCTCTTGCATTCAATTCGTACGCTTAAGGCCAACGTTGTCTTGGTTTTGGGTCAGGTAGATGCCTTATCTATGCTCAATATGTGTATCTTGCATCTTCCATATTAGTTATGCATTGAAAGCCAGTTCTGATCATTAATATTCCCAAAATATCATCTTTATTTGGTTTCTTAAATATCATACTTTCCTTATACGTAGTCATTGATTAGTGCCTCCATTTCATACATCTATTGAAATAAAAGATTCTTCTCTTCTGGGAGGGTTTGTGGATTTGGGGAAGGGGATATAGAGCTGGATGTTATACCTTTCATAAATGCTCAGTGACTCAGGCTTTCCCTTTGTCCTCTTTGTAGGAAAAACTTTGCAGCATGCTCAAAGAAGTGCTTAAGAGTGAACCCAAAGTAGATGTTGTGAAACTTCAGAGATCAGGTGGAGTTGTATCTAGGAATGCAAAAGTCCGTCAGAAGGCCAGAGGTTTTAGGATAAGGGTAAATCACTTGTCCACTTTTGGATATCTTCTACATATATTAAACATATCTAGATGTTTCCTTCTGTTTTGTCATTTCAGAGGATTTCCATTTAAACTACGAGAATCTGTTGTCTGTAGGCACTTGTGCCGCTCAACTTATTATTTGATTATTATTCGTCTAAGAGTTTATTATTGCTCTTAGGCCAGAATTCATCCTGCATTGCAAATCCTGATCTAGCCAAACAGTTAAATGGGAGAGGGATGAATTTTTTGAATTTTGATTATTTTTTGTGCTGAGAAATAGATAGGATAAAAAATGACTCAAAGTTGAGTGACAAAAACTGGTCTCTGGTCTAAGTTAATAAAAAATGACTCAATGTTTGAACTGTCAACATAAATAGTCAAATGGTTGGCACTAAGTTTCTTTTTACCATGAAATTTGTGGGCTCCTTAGCATTTATGAGCCCTTGGCTACTGTTTAAAAGCATGCTAAGACCCATTTGTGTGCAATATAAAACTGAATTGACAGAAGATCTTTTTTTCTTTCTGGGCAATTTGTTCATTAGCCTTGGGTTAAGTGTAGTATGTTAAGGGTTTATTTTTTCTCCTCCCTTCCCTCTTGGACGTTCTTTACATTCATGGAGTTGTTCTGCCTGTTCAACTGTTCTGGGTCTATAATGCGTAATTGCTGTCATCTGATTTTCACGCAGGAATACTTCTATGGCCTCACAAATGATCTTTCTCCGCATTCTAATATTGCAAATTTTAATGACTTGTTTGTTTATCGAGTTGGTGGTGGGCCACAGGCCCCACGTTCAGCCTTGCCAATTGGAGCCGAACCTGCTGCAGATCCAACAAGAGTTGTACCTGTGAATATGAATCGTGATTTGCTTCACTTAGTTCTTGCTGTCTCTTTTGCCAAGGAACCTGATGAGATCATTTCAAGGTAACCATAATATTTTGGATGGTTAAATTTTTATATGTGAATGCAGTAGTCCTTCAAGTTTTATTTTTTGATAGAGCCGAGCCGAGTGATGTTGTTTGATCCATGTATTCTTGGCCGTTGTTGTAAATGATATTAACCCTTGACCTAGAGAATCAAACTTCATAAAGTCACATGTATAGCCCAAAAGAGAAAAGAAAAGCATGTGCACTGTATGTCTTTGTCTCTTTGTGTGTGTGTGAGAGAGAGAGAGGGGGTGTGCCTCATACGAGTATGCTGATACAAGAGAGATTTGTGTATAAATTTATTAAGCTTAGTAGCAATGTAACATTCAAGTGGAAAATGGTGGCTTCTGTGCTATTTTTAGTTTGAAATCTACCAGGAATTGTCCAGTTTGCTTTGGCTTGCTTTTGACGGAAATGATTTCTGGGATTTTTTATCCAGATACTTGGTTTAATCATTTTTATTTCTTTAAAGTTTTATCCCTTAATCTTGAAAAAAAAAATTCTGTTTATTCAAATGAGGCCACTCGATAGATATTGTGTCATATTAAGGTTAAAATTTTGAATTTTAATGGATCAAAGAAATCCAAACAGATGTTGAAAAATGAAAAAAGAAAAGAAAAGAGAAGATATGATGAAAATATATCATCTCATAAAATTTTAAGTTTTAGAATAGCCAAACTTCCGTATGTGTATGTCATCCATTGTCTAACTTCTTTCCGTGGGCTTCTTTCTTATTTCATAGTCATTTTAAAATAGGAAAATACTTCAAGACTGAGAAAGTTTTTTACCCCTTTCCCATTCCTAGTTTCCTACAAGTACACCCCTTACCTTGTCAATCTTTTTTGGTGCAGCAATGTTGCTGGCTTTATCTATGTAACAGACATTGACATTCAGAGGTTTGTATTGTTAGATTTCATTTTTCATTTCATTTTGCTGTTTATGAAGAACGTTTGCAGGATGATTTGCTTTTCTAACTTGATTTGCACATTACAGAAAGAAGATAACATACCTTGCACCATCTGCTGGAGAACTTCCAAGCAAGTATTTGATAATGGGATCCTTAACATGGCTTGAAACATGAGGAAATGAACAGTATTGTAATAGAAAATCTCTTGGTAATTTTTTTATTTTGGTTCTGTAATCTTATGTCATGATCAATGTAAATACTAAATGTAATTGATGACCCTGTTGTGAGGGGTTGTTTGTCCTAGTGGGAGGCTGACCTTGCCCTTTGTCCTGGAATATCCATTTATAATCCTTATTTTGCCCGTTAAATAGCAAGTTCCTTCTCACTATTACTCATGAAATTGAATTGCAATTGCATGTTTATCTCCCCAATGCTTTTGGTTATCAAATCCTAACAGCTTAGTTGGGCAACCCATACAACATAAAACAGTCACTTGGGGGATTTAGTGTTGAGATGCTAGAGTTATTCAGTGCTGCAATTTACTGAGTGATAGTCACATCTTCAGCAGCCTAATTATTCATAGATTACCATTTGTCTTGTCTTCGAATGTATTCATCCCTACGGGGATGTTGTTTGAGACTTTTAATGAGCCTTTGAATTTCTTACTAACAATTACTGCAAGATGGAACTGCGGGGAAAATGATCTGTATATTCATGGAAGTCTAGTTTTACATTGTTAACAAGATGATGGATTTATAGGGTTAGCAAAAATCATTGATGAATCGCCTTACTTGACCACGGTTATTCGAGTTTATTCTATAAGGGTGCGTTTGGTTCGGGACATCTCTAAACTTTCCCAGTCAAGTGAAAGTGGCATTCTCAGTTGTCTCCTATTGGTAGAAGGAACGAAATATTTTACCCATCCAATGCAGTTGCCCAACCTTTGAGAAAAGCATATAAAAAAAGCTATAAATGCACTGTGCAAGAATGCAACTTCCAACGTGGTATTTGAGAAAAAATCGAATAAATGCAAAAAGTGGATAAAAGGGTGACAACATTACCCCTCTTTTTAACCACATGTGAGCAAAGTATTTATTAAAGAAAGGTTACTTTCGTAATTTCTACCCATTTTTTCATCAAAATTTTATTTTCAACCAAACATGAACTCAGGATATTTAACACAATTTTTTCAGTAATATTTTGCATATCAAACAACTTTTTTTAAACTTTCCTACCAAACTTATTTTTCTACCTTTTTCTTTGTGATACATTTTCTTAGTAAAAAAAAAAAATTATCCTCCCTGAGATTTTAGGAAGTGGGCAACTATAATGACTTTAATGTAGTAGCTAAATAAAATAAAAATGAGCAACTAGTCAATTTTCTTTATATAATATACCAACTTAAACTTGAATTTCTTGTAGTGTATTTGCTTAAAATGCTTGCTGCACATTTTAGCCAACATGTATGATCGGAGGCTCTTTTTTCATTGCAAACTTTCTTTTGGTTACCAAAAGAAAGTATTATCTTAGTTGTGTAAAATTCCATTGGATTTGTCTTAAAAGAAATGCTGGTGTATGATGATGACCAAAGTTTGAAGCAAACGTCCAATCACTTTGGTCCTAGTCCCCTTATGCAAGGTCTATTATTATAACTTAGAAGCAATTTTATGTAATTTACCATTAATGTATGATTATGATAACTTAAATTTGGAACTAACCCACACTCAATCACTTTGGTGCTCTTATACGGCGAGATTCATTTTTATCTAATTTAACATAAATTAGATTTTATAATTGAAAGTCGTTTAGAAAATTATTTGGGGAAGAGATCTGCCTCACTCTCCCATTCTTATTAATTTCACAACAATTTGAATTTGTAGACTAACAATATGGAGAAAACCACTTGGAAGAGAAAAGCCACCCATGCAATCTTATATGATTCAACACAGGTGGTCAAAATGCAAGAGATCTCCTCCAAGTTATGTACAAAATAAACTCTTCATTTGAAATTCACCAATATAATTTCTTATTTTATTTACATTTTAAAAATAAATTACTGTCATATAAAAGATTGTTTAAAAATTGATGATTGTTGAATAATTTTTATTTTGATAATAAATAATTTCTTAGCTTAATTGTTATGTATTTTACTGTTTCATACTAGATTTCCTAAAAAATAATAGGGATAAATAAGAGTTATGTTGTAGGAAAAATAATTTGGTTATGTTAAGATAAGACAAAACAAAATCATCGAACAAAGTGTCTTGTCATATTTTTTTTTTATTTTTTTTTGTCCTTTAGTGTTGTATGACATCATGTAACGTGATAAAATAAAGACCCAAAATAATAATATGTATAAGCACAAGAGGTCAACGTAGAATGCAGAAGAGTTTTCTGCGCATGATTAGTCACAGAAAGAGTTAGCTTGATTTGACTAAAATAAGAAATTAATCCAGATAAAGTAATCCTATTCCGATGAGTTAACTGTTCGATCTATTTAAACTTTTAATTTAGTCCATGTTAATTATAATTTTTTGAGTAAATATCTTTTTTGATCTTCAGCAAATTAGCAAATTTTACGATGCCCACTCTAATCTCTAACAAATAAAAAGGTTATTCGGGATCTCTAAAAAATTCAAAATGGACCCATTTAATTAAAATCGTGGTCCCTCACAAATTCAAAAAAGACTCACATTAGTCCCTCAGAAGAATTAAAATTGGTCCACTTTGAATTTTTCAAGATTACGAATAGTCTTTTTATTTGCTAGGGACTAAAGTGAGTATCGTAAAATTTGCTGAGGAACGAATAGAGTATTTACTCTAAATTTTTATAATTAAGTTATTATAATTCATAACAATAACATAAAATAAATTACAAATGAATAAATATTTATTAATAAAGTCCAAATAGTCACGAGCCAACAAAAAAATATTTATAAATTCTCAAAAACATCTATTCTCTTAATTTTGTTAATTTATATTAACATAGTTTACAAATATAATGAAATTACATGACTTAGGTGGTAATTTAAGTTAAATACAAATTGATCTTGTTTTGTAGCAACATTTATTTATCCACTTGCAATCTGAGATTCCATTTTCTCCTCTGTTCGCAATGGAAATGGATTCCATTCCAAACGGCAACAACACCACCACCGGAACCACCCCAATCGCCGCCGTCAACAACCATCCCGCTCCTTCCTCAAATCTTTCCCAATTGACTGAGTCTCTGAAGTTGGAGCACCAGTTCTTGAGAGTCCCTTTTGAGCACTACAAGAAAACCATCCGAGCCAATCACCGCGCCGTCGAGAAGGAGATGTCCGCCGTTATCTCCGGCGTCACCGACGCTGCCGCCGCCGACTTGTCACCTGATGACGCCGTCAACCACCTTAACTCCCTTGTCTCCCGCCTTCAAGGCCTCAAGAGGAAGGTAAATACTGACCTAAATTTGTGATTTGAATTTTGATTCAGTGCGTGATGAGGTAAATTTTTGAATTGTTCTCTTTTCACACGGTTACGGTAGTGGAAAATGATTTCAGTTTTGGGTTTCTGTTTGTTTAATTTTGATTTTGCACTGCCAATTGATATTCTGGGTTATAAGTTAAATCCAATCTATGTGTTTTAAAATTCAGCTAATAATTTGAGGCATCGAGAAATACACCAACTTTGTTTTAGTAGTAATGTGGTTACTGTGAGTAGTTATAATGTTTAGCATTCTTCCTGGTCCATTTTGTTCTGCATTTACTCCCAAATGATTTCACTTACATTCATTATTAACTGTTGGGTGATTGAGAACTTGTATCTCCTTTTTGTAAGTTTATGATGGTAATCATTTGTAAAAATATTTTCAGTTGGAGGAAGGAAGTCGAGCAGAGAACTTGCAAGCACAGCGGTGTCGCATACGTCTGGATCACTTAGAATCTGCTGATGCAGAAAATCTGTCAGATTGGAATAACACTCGCTTGAAGCGGATTCTTGTTGATTACATGTTGAGGATGTCATATTATGACACTGCGGTGAAACTTGCTGAATGCAGCAACTTGCAGGTAATCTTACTAGTTTTCAAATGTAATGATATGGTTGGATGATAGAATGAGCTTAAAACCCGATATATATGAGTAGCTGTCTCTTAAACCACCATAGAGGAGTTTAATCCTCCACACATATTTGAAGAATCAAATATCCAGCAAAACTGCTAAGTATCATATTTGAGCTGCAGACATAGTTCACTTGTGTAATGAATATGGTGGTCGTCTAAGAATGCTAGTAATATGCTGCTCCCTCTGATTCTTCTCCATGTAATATGTTACAATCTGCATTTTGTGTCACTTTGGTTCTAACAGTAGTATTATTTATCTTTGTACATCAGGATCTTGTTGATATTGATGTGTTTCAAGAAGCAAAAAAGGTTATTGATGCTTTGCAAAATAAGGATGTATCCCCTGCCCTAGCATGGTGTGCTGATAACAAATCAAGGCTGAAGAAGTCTAAGGTACATACTTCTGTTTGAGCTTATTAATAGTTGCTGCATCATATTTATAGCTCTTAGGCTTTTGGATTTATTTGGTTCTAGAATCTAGGTTATATGCATTTCTTTTAAGGCATTGAGAATAGAGAATCATCTAGGACATACTGCAGCTATAGAATGTATTGATATAAAAGTGAAAGATATCCACCATATGAGGTTGTTAAACAAAAATAAAAAATGCTCCAAGTTTGGTTTTTCCTAAACAAATAGCCAGACTTTCTTGAATATCCACTAGTACTACTAAGGTTTCTAATGCATTGGTACTTGTTAGTAACAAATGCACAATATTTACTATTGTTATTTAAACTGCTTTAATGACAACAGAGCAAATTGGAGTTCCAGTTGAGACTTCAAGAGTTCATAGAATTGGTAAGAGCTGAGAACAATTTGAGAGCCATCACGTATGCTAGGAAATATCTTTCACCATGGGGAGCCACCCACATGAAAGAATTGCAGCGAGTCATTGCAACACTAGCTTTTAAAAGAGACACTGAATGTACCATGTACAAGGTGAGCAATCCTCGTGTTTGGGTAATTTTGTGCATTGGTGATACTGGTGTGTCTTCAATTCTATTACTTTCTTAATGCAACATTGATATGATTGCATCTATATGCATAGCTGGTAGGATTGCCCAATTCGCAAGTCGAACTGCAATCTAATACCCTTTAGTAAGCCAGTGATTCATATGATGTGAATCACAGATGGCTTTGAATTGTGCTTGTATTGCACAAATCAGTGCAACTTTGTATCATCAATACAGATGATTCTCTATACGGTATCACCTCACATTTTTTTGTTTGCTTCACCCCTGTCCAATTATCATGTGAGAATTGAACGGGGGTAAAGAGGCTTAAATTGTTATATATAGGAATTGAAGAGTTGTTATATATCGCACCCTGTTCCATGCTCTGTTTTCATTCAGAGGGACAGAGAGGCTTAATTGTTCACATATGCAGACCAGTCATTATGACTCACGCTGTTTGTTTCTTGTAGTTATAAGTCCACTCTTGGTTCTGATTGTTCACACATTACTCTGAAATAGTTAGTTTATCTATGTTGAAATTATGTTTAATTTATGGAAAAAGTGTGTATCATTTTAAAGGATGTAAAGTTGTGTCATTTTAAGTGAGAGAAAGAGATAAATAAAGGAGGAGAGAGAGTGGACAAAAAAATATAAAGATGTGGGTCCCACCTTTTTGTGAGAGTGAAAGGATATAAGTTGTGTCATTTAAAAGGACAAATACTTTTCCCTTAATTTATTTATGAAACTTATGATGGTATTATGGTATTATTGGAGTTTACTATTTCCATACTGACGTTTGACATTTAAGTATTTACTTGAGACTTTTGAGTATTTTGTTCATGTTTTAGGTGCGGAACCATGTATATTTAAGTTTTTACATTGATGTGTTTTTAAAACGTAAAATACATTACAATTCACATTTCATGATTCAAAACTTGAATAGATGATTCTTGATATGATTTGAGATTTGATAACTGTGTTTATAGTAACAACAGAGTGAACAATTTGGAAGTGGAAGGTTGAATGGTTTCATTTTGAATTTGTGTTAAACTGTGAACTTCATTGTAGAAGAGCATGTTGCTCTTCTACAATTAGCTATAATTTTCTTTTAGGAAAAAGAAGAAAGAATGACAAACAATAGCTAATGATTCTGTCTATTGATATGAATTGTAACTATGTTTCTTAATTTTTCTAGTTGTTAATATTTGTAGTTGACAAACCAAGCTCCGAGTCTTAAAGCTTTAAATTGTAGCATATTTTCTTACTTGTTTTAATAATTGATATGGCTTATATCTTGCATTATGCATCTCTTACCTATTTGAAGCAAAGTTCTTCCTCTGTTGATTAGGTAAGAAACAAGACCAATTACTGACAATTTTTTTATTTTTCTCTGATCACTTCTTATTGAAGAAAATCTTCATGCCTGTTGTATTTCCATGAAGTCTATCAACCAGATATTGTGTCAAACAGGGCATTTTTATACTTTTCTTCTGTGCTAAACTTTTTGCTTGATATTGCATTATTGTCTCATCTTTGGGAGCTGCCATTTCAGCACTTAAATATTTGCAAATTTTTTTGCATAATATTTAACAGGTCTTATTTGAAGCTAAGCAATGGGATTATCTAGTGGACCAATTCAAACAGGAGTTCTGCAAGTTATATGGCATGACTTTAGAGCCTTTGCTCAATATCTATCTGCAAGCTGGCCTTTCTGCTCTGAAGACTCCGTATCCATTAACAACTCAAGCCATAGACTATGATCTGCAAGCACAGTTTGTGCTGTGTGGAAAGCCATGCTTTATCATGCTTGCATACATATAACTGAACCCCCCTCCCCCCAAGAAAAAATGAAATAAAATAAACAAATTGAAATTAACTGAATTTAATGGGTGGTCTATTAATTTGAATTCCCTTGATTGGAGTGACTCAGTATCTATGCAGGTATCTTAAAATCCTCCATATTTAACAGTTCAAGAGCATTCATTGTATGGTATTTCATATTTATCATTGGTAATCTCCTGACTTTAGCCTTTATGTAGCAATTCATGATAATCATAGTTTATTTTGGTGTCCGGTTTAGAAATCATTTTTCACTGGTGACACGAGGTACACTTAAGTTGATATTTGTATGCTTATTCTCAAGGTTTTATTGATCTGTTACTACCATTCCTATAGTTTATCCAAAGTATGGTTCCTGCACTCTCGTGCTTCTCATTTTTAACTCTTGTTCCGGAAGATTTTGAGGCTCATACGGATAGCACTAAAGCCTTTTTACTCGTTAATTTGCATGGTTCTCATTTCAAATTTGTGTTAGTGTGTATACGTTGAGATATGCCCCTTGACTTGATAAAGATACTGTTACGAGGATGATTGCACAAAAGAGGATCCTCTATCACAGGAGGCTTTCCGCACGCTAGCCTTGCCATTACCATATTCAAAGCAGCATCACTCAAAGCTTGTTTGCTACATAACCAAGGAGCTAATGGACACTGAGAACCCACCACAAGTCTTGCCCAACGGATATGTTTACAGTACTAAGGTTCCTGTTATTCTAGATGTTCTATATAAAAGCATAGCGTATAAGGCAAAATTTTATTTCTACTATTTGCTCTTTTGCAGGCTCTGGAAGAGATGGCTAAGAAGAATAATGGTAGAATTACCTGCCCAAGGACAGGTTTAGTTTGCAGTTACACAGAACTTGTCAAGGCATATATTTCATAAATCTACATGCTTCATCTTGATTAATGATTGAAAATGTCCATTCTGCCTTTGGCTTCAAGCTACTGTGGCTGTCTAGCTTGAAAATCTACTCTCATGGGCATCGCATTAATTCGTCTTTACAGTTACTTGTGTTTCGGTGTTGACTTAAACATGTAAATATGTAAAATGTTGTTTCGAGTATTCACCAAAAAAATAAAAACGTTGTTTCAAGTGTCCCTGGTATATGACTTAATCATGTGCATACATTAATTTTGTACTTTCCATTTTAATGAACTTCTGTCATGCTACTTTTGTTTGAACTTGCCACATTTAGGGTATTTTAACCTTACATATTATTTCAAATAATAAAATATATTATTAACTTTTCTTTAAAGAACAGAATACCGAATAATTTTTCGAGGGAAAAAAGAAAGTACTCATGTTGCAGCTAGAAGAAGGGCAACAACCTCAAAACCAGAGAGTGAAGAGAGAGGATCAAGGGACAAACAATCAAGCAAGATGGGTAGGGGGAAGCGGACAACCACTTTAGAATTGAGATAAATCTGGAAAAATAATATAGTAAATGAGGGTAAATTAGTTTTAACATCAAACAAATTGATAAAGAGAGGTATGAACTTAACCGTAGTTAAAGACGACCGTAACTATTAATTAATTTTATTTATAATGTCCATTTTAAAAGATTTTACCTAATCACTATTTCTAGTGAATTAATCTTATGATCATTAGTATAAGTATATTGACAAACGAAGATCGGAACACGTAACTTTTACGATGGATTGAAACTAAACACCTCGTGAGTTATGCTTCACGTTTTGAAGTATTGAGTTTGATTTAAGATTTAATTTTAATGTGTTTATATTTTTATAGCATTATTTGATATTAAATTGACATTTCATTTAACAAATTTAATTATATTAATAACTATATAATATGTAAAATTTATAAAATAATGTAGTAACATATTATTATAAGTACGTAACTCAGAGTAAATTAAAATTAAATGTTGAGATATATAGTCCCACATTGATTAGATGGGCAACTAATATGGCCTTTATAAGGCCTTGGGCACTCTCACCCCTTGAGCTAGCTTTTGGGGTGGTGTATCCCAAGGTTCTTAACATGGTATCAGAGCCTCACCGTCCCCCGCTTTAAAAAGTGGAATTAAAATAAAAAAAAGCACAAAAAGGTGAACCAAAAATTGGGCCTGTGCAATTTCACGCTTCTAGCCCAAAGGGCTCTTGCGTGAGGCGGCGTGTTGAGATATATAGTCCCACATTGATTAGATGGGCAACTAATATGGCCTTTATAAGGCCTTAGGCACTCTCACCCCTTGAGCTAGCTTTTAGGGTGGTGTATCCCAAGTTTCTTAACATTAAAATCATAGATTTAACTTTGTAGATACATATTACATACTTTTGTAAACAAGAGGAAATTTTATTTGAATTGGGAAAGTGGAGCATTCAACAATCATGCTGTTGCCCAACTCTTGTTTTTATTCCAGTTCTGGGTATCATAACTCTTGTACAAACCATCGTCTCTCACTGACCAAAAGATTTTATGATGGCTTCCATCTACGCTTGGATCGTACACATAGAAAATTAGAGAAAATAAGGGTCCAACTGGCCTCGAGTCCCAAAATATTTGACAGGCTTTGCGATCCAAATTGGCTAATTTAGTGAAATAATTTCCTGGTTGCAAATAGTGTCGAGTATTTTCGTAATTGTAATACAAGAACGGTACTGTGCCATGGGTCATGTCATTTTGAATGGAAAAGAAGAGTATGTTGATGTTGGGCTCATCTGATTGGGATTCCAAATGGATGGATGAAAGATTGGGGGGAGTTTCAGACCTATTGAGAGTGTGTGCGAATGTTGAGTCATACAAACACAACATAACAACAAACAAGAAGGTTGCATGAATTGTTGTAGACATTTTGTTTGTGATCTTTTCACCAATTGATATTGATTTTTCCACAGGCTCTCACTTAGCACTCATATTGGTCACATTTATATATTTGAGGTTTGGTTGCACTCTAGTAGATGTTAGGTGGACAGTAATTTAAATTGATTTTGAATTTTATTATTTATGTCGATGCATTTATGATATATAAAAGAGTCAAAAGCTATGAGATCAGCACATCAGAAATCACTCTCAAATTGGCACATCATCAACCAGCTGTTGCTGTGTGATTTGAGAAACATTTCCTTTCTCACTTGTCTATCTGCTCCATTATAGCTTCATTTAATCAACTCAGTAAAAAAAGCAGCGCCTCTTGGAAAATATGTGATGAGTGATGACCATTGAACATTCATTTTAATTTTTCCCTCATTTCACTCCTCGAGCATAACGTCTAAAATTAATCACCTCTGCTCCTGCGAAAAATCTAATATATTATGAAATTAGGTACGTCTGGTGAATAAGAGTAGAGCTGGCAATATAGGTTGAACTCGACGGATTAATCTGGCAATCTGTCAAAATAGGACATGTTGGGTTATACATTTCAACCCACCAATCCACCTCAACCCGCTCCGTTGGGTTGTGGGTCAAAATAGGTTGGTGGCGGATCGAGACGGGTTGGCTCGCCGGGTTGTGGTTTTTTTATTTTTTATTTTTTATTATTAGGTAGTATTTTATTTGTATTTAAGCTTTTATCATATCCAATTTTTTGTTATCTTAGAAAAAATAAAGTAGAAAAATGGGATAAAAACTGGACAATGGACAGGGTTTAAAAATTCTATTATTACTAAAGCTATACAGCTATAGTAACTAAAGGCTTGTACTTAAAGATTTTTCACGATAAACTTTGTGCAGTTCAGCAGTTTTTCTTTAAGTTAATGCTTTTTGTTTTGGGAGAGAATGTTTTATTGAATACTGGTTGTGTCATTGATCTTGCAGGTAAGGGCACTCTATTATATACAAAGGGGACTCTATTATAATTTTTGTTTCGATCAATAGAATCTGTGTTGCTTTCTAGTTAACTTCTTCAACTCATTGCTAATGTGTGTCTATTTCACGAAAAATTAATTAAAGTATGAAAACTTCTAAATATTTGTAGTCAATAAAAGATAAAATGAGAAATTAGAGAATAAGAAAGAAAAAGAAAAAACCTACCATCCAATGAAGATAATACTAATAGAATCATCTGTTCCATTTGAAAGGTAGTAGATTTCAAGTTTCACTAAGGAGTTATGTATAATGGAAAAAATAAATAAGAAAAACTTTATTTATGAGAAAGGTAATCTATATATGAAGATAAAAATAAGTTTGTAAAAAATGTATGACTGAATATTAGCCTACATTTAGATTTAAAATTGGAAAAAAATTAAGGGGAATGTAATATAAAAAAAAGTAATATTATAATATTAATAAAATATAATTTTTTTTTATTTTTAATTATTTTTTATTTTTTAGGCGGGTTGACCTGCCAACCCGCCATAAAACGGGGCGGGTTAGAATTTTCAACTCACATTCAAGTGGCGGGTCGGGGCGGGCCGACCCGTTTTGCCACCTCTAAATAAGTGTACATTACTCAGTTGCAATTGTCTTGAAAAGAGAAAAAAAAATTATATTTTATACAATATATTATGAAAAAAATATTTATCATTTTAAATGACATAACTTATGTTATTTCACTCTTACAAGGAGGTGAGACCCATACTTTTATTTTGTTATCAACTCTCTCTCCTCCTTTATCTATCTCTTTCTCTCTTTTAAAATGACACAATTTTACATCCTTTAAAATAACACACACTTTTCTATATATTATCAATAGTATATAATATAAAGTATATTATCGCTCCCAATTTTTGGTGGGTATACCCAAAATGCGGTCCTGCTCCAGATGGCAAAAGGGAGCCGAAAGATAAATGTAAAACAGCACTCTATTTGGGTAGCGGACTTTCTAGCCTCTTACTCTTATGGTTTCTCTTGGGTAATTCAGGAATTTGATTGTCCACCGTCAGGTTGTATTGATAGTCTATATGATGACACTATAAGTGTTCACTGGTCTAGGCTTTGTGCCTAGTTTCTTTTTGTTGTGTTTTTATTTTAATTTACTATTATTTCCAAAAAAAAAAGAATTGCCCTTGACCAGGCCCTGTCTCAAATTCGGCCGAGGGAATTTTCAACCTAGTCTGCATTATGAAAGGAATTCGGCTCCCTTTTGCCATCTGTCATTTCTTTAATTTCCCTTAGCCCATAATGGGAAATTCTTAGTAAGGATAACACACACACGGGGATCAACTAACACAAATATAAAAATTATACTAGTTTAAGTTAATTTTTACTTGTCCCTTTCTTTTTAGGGTTTATTTTTTCTAAAGTTATTTTAGATAAATTTTTTTAATGTTCATCGAAACGACGTCGCTTTGGGACGGAAATCATGGTATTTTTGTAATTTTAATTTATTTCAGGGTTATAATAGTTTTTATTATTCTAATTTTTTAATTTTTCTACTCAAAACGACGTCGTTTCGATGAACATTAGACAAAGTTATCTAAAGTAACCTTAGATATTTTTTTCTTTCTTTTTATATATAAAAATAATATATTAAGTATCTAAAAAAATATAAAGAGAATATATAAAAAAGAATTCGGCTGCATTTCTGAATTACCCAAGAGAAACCATAAGATGAAGGGCAATTCTACTTCTCTTGATGTTGTCCCCATCTCATTTTCTACAAAATACCTCTTTTTACACTCTGCAATGGTGACGCCAGTTTTCAATTCGTCAACGCTGTTTGGTAACTCTCTTGCAAATGTTGGAGATTGTTATTTTTTTTTTGGAAATAATTGTTGGAGATTATTAGTTTTTGCTTTGATGTCAGTTTCGTTCTCCACGAGCTCATATTCTTTTTCAAATGGGCTTTGTTGTTTTCAGTTTTTTGGAAATGTGCAGGAACGATATTGTTTGCCCCCAAATTGTTCCCTGCATTGTTTATTTATTTTTCAATTTATTTATTTTTCCTACTAATTTATTGAATTTTATTTTACTATCATTTTTCATGTTTCACTTGCGGAGACTCGGGAACCGGATGAGCCTTCCAATGGCGTAGATACATTATATTTAGGTAGGATTTGAGTCCCGGTTATATTTTAATAAATTTTTTTAATATATAAAATTATATAAGTAATTATAATTGGACTTATAAGTTGGTTCTAGCTAAAATTGTAACAATAGTAACATAAGAAGATTTGAAGCAGCTTTGCATGTACGACCATATAACATATTGCTTT